GAACTGTTTCTTAAAATCCGCCTACTACTTGAAATCCTAATTTTCTTTCTGTTTCTCTCTCTCTCTCTCTCTCTCTCTCTCCCTCTTCTGCGATACATTGAAATGTTAAGCCTTGATGTTTATCTGTTGCCCGCATCCGTCAGGATTGGCCGAAATTCGCGCAGCAGCTCATGGAACTTGGTTGCACCTGGAGCACGCAGATAGAGGTGAAATAACGCCCTTAGCAAACTATATCAAACTCATTCTTCTCTATCCACCCTTCGACGACTCGAGCTTATGCCTTTCTCGCATTTTTCTTGTTTTCCATACCGAATAGGTCCTGTTTTTCTATGAATAGATCCATGGAAGTAGAGATCGACGGGGTACTGATGGTACCCTTTCAGGGTATTCAGTGCCTCTGCTCCCTATTTTCCACAAATCTTACGTGGGTACATATAAAATCATTAACGGAATAACAACCGAAAGCGGAAGAAAGCAGTTGAAATAATCTCTCGATTAGGTCGTCTAACGAAACCGCTTACCTTTCTCGATCCAATTCGTCTTTGTTTCTGTCGCTTTACTTTCTCTCCCTGCGCTCTTCCTTCATCGTCTTCTTCGACCCTTTTTTTCTTTTGCTTCGCCCTAACATGGTCTCCCTCGAACAGGAAAGGAACAGTGTGCGCGATATACAATTAAAAGCGGAAGAACGCCTCTCCTTGTTGCTTGCTGCCCACTGCTCTCCCGATCCCGATTCGTTTACCGGAAGAGCGCACATACACACACATCGACTATGATCCTCCCCTGATAATAGGAATCACTCGTATGCATCTCCTTCATGTTTCTTTTTTTTTCTCGCTTCAGATGGACACGCCTGGGTCAACCAACATGATTGGAACGTACATAGGCTCGCCGAACCATACCACAAATTACACGCAAGTAGGTAGTCCAACTTGCTGCGGAGATGTCTTCGAAGATGGGAGAAATTCTTGTTGGAAGCGATGCTTAATTTACTGGAATTTTGTTGCAGAACGACACGATAAATGTCGGGGGTGAACTGGGCAGCGGGGATGCTGGGTATTTCAGCACGAGTCCTCAGATGCCGTATCAGCCTACGACGACGACTGCAACTACCACTACCACCACTCAACAGCTCACACCACAGACGCCCAACACACCAACGATCATCCTCACTGGTATGTTTATATATTTTAATGACATCCTCTCCCCCAGCTTTGAGATTCTGGTACGTAGAGACGGAGACTTGTTTGCGGATTTCGAATAACAAATCTAATTTGCAAGATTCTTTTTTTTTTTTTCTTCTTTGCGAATTCGCAGATTTTTCCGCCCCGGATGATCTGACGAACCCGGAATTTGTAAAGGATCTGGGCACAGCGATGATGGGTGACTTCGACCCCGATCTCTTCCCATCGGACGACGCTTTGAGGCAGGGCCTCGATCCCATCGACATGGATGGTCTACAAATGCTCACCGACCCGACGATGGTCATATCTGATCCCAGCGCAGAAGCCCATTTTAGGCTAGATCGACTTTAAGGCGAGACATTTTACTCATTTTCGATTACGCGCTGACTATATTACGTAGGAATACAAATTTCTTATCTGTCCTGGTGTCGCGATTTATTCTTGGGACACTTTGACAAATGGGACGAAAGGAGAGTCCCGTTCCGGCGGTCGCTGACACGTTTTCAAAAAGATATCGTTTCCTTCGCGAACACCTTTTATCAGTCGTTCCATCTTAAACATTTTAGGGATGATATTATAATTTCGAAACGATCCTCGTTGGAAACGCGACGGATGGACCAACGGGACCGGCTCGGTCCCGTTCGTGATAAATCGTTAATTGAAGATTAAGTAAATACAAATCTTTATTAACCCTTTTTTTATTTTATACTACTTTGTACATTGTATCATGTATGATCTCTAAGAAGCACAAAACAAAATGTCTACTGATTTATACATGCTTTTGTCATATACGATTCCTAGTGAGGTAACAATCTACTACTATTTAGATGAAATTATACGTGTAGAAAAAGAGGGAAAAAGATAAAAAACAGATATACACACACACACACACACATACACATACACGTGGGTCGGTTATGCTCCTTATTCATCGAACCGGGGGAGAAACTAGAGCGTGAGATACCAGTAAAGACACATACAAGGGAGAGAGTGAAGGGAGACACCTTTCTTTTTTCTTTTTTTTTCGGTGGTATTTTTCCGAAAAAAGATGTGTTCAGGTTTCTATCTTGTATTATTCTTATCCTTGCTCGTTGTGCACCTTTGGCTCGAAGAAATCATTCGACGCTTCTCTTCTACGTGTTTTGTTAAACAGGTAATGAGATTGATTTTTATTCCTCGGTGGTCACTGCTGACCGTTACTTCAAATTTAAAATGAATTTTTCATAGCAATGGAACTTAGCAAATTCAATCTCATTACTCTTGCCTATAAATCACGTATTTTACGCGTTCCATTCCTTTGATTAACAAAAAAATTCAGCTCGATTCGAGCGAACGCAATGTGTGTTCAGTTCGCAGCGTCGTTTCACACGATAGAACGTTAAAAAAAAATATATATATATATATATATGTATACATATAATAAGAGGATAAGATGAGTAAACCGCGAAGATAAGTGTACGCGGTCGTCAATTGTTTTTTGAAAGTAATGTAACCCTATACTTTGTATACACGTTGAATAACTAATAATTAGGCGCGTGCACGTTAGAATTAAATTCTACTAAAATGTATAAAATCAAGAGACATAAAGGAAATGACGCTTATACAGGTTCCAAGAGAGAAACCATATGGTTCTTTAACTCTTTGCATTTGAAAGACGACTAAGTCGTCGTTTCACCATTGGATGGCGGAGCCAGGTCAAACGTGATCCAAAGAGAAACAATATATTAGATATATTGGGAAACAAGAGCCCGCCATCCGAGGGTTAACACGCATTATCCAAATAAAAAAGACATCAGGTTGCAGTACCTCAGGTTGAAGGTGCTAAGAAAAATAATTACAAATACCTTTTATATCCGTAGATTTTTATTCGAATCCATTGATCCCAGAAATTTTATTGCATAGAAATAATTACTGTTCAAAACCTCTCGAGTTACTCAACTTCGAATAACTTTATATTGTTATGAATTGAAAAGACAAAGGCCAGGTGGACCCCGGATGTGGGTCCATACGGGGTTCACAACCATCGAACGGTTGCTCGCTGTGCCCGTCTAAAAGTTTCTAACAGAGTTCTATTGAATTGAAATTTCCTAGAGTTGCCTAAACGTTTATTGAGAACATGAACAAAGTTTATACCTTGCTGTGTTTGTTGTTGACGGTTCTGACGAGTCTGTTATGTATAATATACCGAGTGTACTGCCCTATTGTGCCTGAGCACAACGTCCAGTCGATTTTCAACAATTAATTAGCAACGCGCTAAATCGACGCGGTCTCGAAACGTTATTTTTTGCGACAAATCAGGTAGAGCATCTTATAATTGGTGGAAAGTACTCTGCAAGAGAGTTGACGCGTTAAAATGAAACTTTCTTCCCTCCGAATCGTTTGCTCTCCTCGCGAGACTGTGCCAAGACGCGTAGTTATTCGTTGCTCTAGATTGTAAGTCCATTCTATCAATTCGTAAAACGTTCAATATAAATGAACAATTGTCTGTGGTTCACGCTGAAAGTTCTGAGAATCTCACATGGGATCATCTGTTAAAAGTTTCGATTCTATCGATAAATTGTGATTCTCAAAACTTTTACTCGCAAAACTATGATTTCTGTAAATCATGGTAGTACTTAAATCAAGCGATCAATTCGAGCTTTGTAAGTTGAATTTTATTTTGTTACAAATTTCTAGAGTATACGAGTTAGCTAGCTGTGTATTTAATTTGCAATGAAAATTTCCTTTCTGGAAGGGATCAATGAATAATCGCAAACGTTAATTAAACGTTTTATCAAACACAGTATTTGCCAGCCTGTGCGGCAATTTATTATCCCCACTATTTCCTCGACATTCTCTGTATATCCTTCTTATCTCGCTCAAAGGTAAATAGTTAAAAAAATGGACCCAATGAAACAACACGTGTCGTTTAGAATCATTAATACTAAAAACCAGAATTGCACTCCAGCTCTCTCGCTTCTTTCTCTATTATGTCTCTCCCTTTCTCTCTCTCATACACATACATACACATATGCTCTTTCTGCGTCAACAGAGCGTCTCATAAAGGATTAACGTGTCGATTCGTTGTTGTATTCGATAAGAAATCAGCGCGCGATTAAAGGATGAAATTAGACAAGAAAATTGAAAATGGAAACAGAAAGGGGAAGGATATAGGAAGAAGCAGTACGTCTCATATGGAACGAGTTTTAGGGAAAATGTAATGAAAAGAAAGGAAACATTGTAATATTTGTATATAGCCATGTTATTGTGGTAAAGAAATTACCTTATATTATTATAAATATTACGCATATATATATACATATATACGTGTACGTATATGTATATATATTATATATTATATATATATAAATATATATATATATATATTAAGTCTGTAATGCCGTTACGTTGTTGTACCATATTATTGTGAACACCATTTCTCAGACATCGATTTTTTTAAATAAAAACAAAGTCTCTATCGACATGCACTAAGTACCAAGCAGAGTGTCCGTCGTAAATCCACCGCACACCGTTTCAAAATTCGATTCGATTCGATTTATCATTTAATCGTGGCTTTTTCGCCTCGTCTCGCTTATTGCGTTTATTTTCGTTTTTTTTTTTCTTACTCGCATAAATCATCATTCAACAAGACACTTTGGTGACTTTCGAGGCGAAGAAATGACGAAATGATCGTTCCAGGATCTTGAGAATAAGAGAAAAGTCAATTGTTTAACTGGAACGTTCCGTCGCAGTAGATTGCGTAATTAATCAACAAACGACAACGAACGTTTTGACGAAAAAGATAAACGTTCTTAGCGAAAGCGAGAAGTGGTGGCGATGTTTTTTTTTTTCCTGAAAACGATCGCTGCCTAGTCTCGTCGACCAGCCTTTTTGTCAGACTGATGTTCATCCTTAGTCTATCCAATTAACGATCAATTACCACGAGCAATTCGCCCGTTAAGTCACTGTCTGCGATCAGAGACGCGACGAAGGAGCTTCGTTGATACGTGTGCGTTCGTCGTGTCGCGTTTATACTCGCGTGAACGAGCGTTGTAATTAATCTTATCAGGGATACGGACAACAATGATCTACACGACAGATTTTATACGATAGAATGATTTAAAAGAAATGGCAAAAGGCATTGCGCATCCTAGACGCGACACAACGCATGCACTAGAAGATAAAAAAAAAGAAAAAAAGAAAAAAAAGAAAAAAGCAAAAGAACCTCACCTTCGACATTTTTCACACGACACCGTGGTCCTTCTGCCCGTCGATGTGTAAATAATTGTTTCATATTGTTGTAAAGTAGAACGGTGATTGAGGAGAGATGGATGATGATGAAACAGTAGGAGACGGCAGGTCTCGATTGCCGAGAATTTAAAGAAAAAAAAAAAAAAACCATAAAACAGTCTCCACCCGTAATGTAAGCGCACAAAAAAATAAGAGGGTTTAACGATCTTATGTGTCTTCTTCGTGTTTAATCGTATCTTTGTTATTAAATCTTGAACGTCTACGAATGCGTCTTTCTATTTGCCTTATAGGTTCACACCTTTCTTTCTCTTTCTTTAGCGACTCTCTTCGTTTGGATATACAGAAAATTCAGGTAATTCAAACGTTTTCATCCTTCATTCTATTTCTTTAAGTGATTTATCTCATTTCTTTACTTACTTTAAGTTAGGTGTTACAAGAAGGCGTCAGTTGAGTCTACTTCCGGTGGAACTACGACTACTCAAAGAGGTCTTAAGAGTAAGATATTTAATTTTAATAATACTACATCTTTTGTAAAAGATAATGGTGTATCTATATTATTATTATTATCTATATTCTTATCTTCCCTGTCGAAATTATACAGTGCTAAAGGTACGATTTAACAAAGAATACGAAGACTTTGACAAACTGTATCTATTGCTTATCGAGATTGCTTGCTGTGATAGTAAAAATCATTCTTTCATATTAATGAGTCTTTGATGACTGAGGTCGAAGGACTCGTTTGATCCTTTTAAATCGTGCCAAAGCCACGCCTGGTTCTCCACGCGAACCACCAAACGCCTCTCCATATTCTGTTGCTAACGGACCGAGTTCCTCTCCGCTTCCTGTCAACGAAGCAACCGAACCGGATTTCTTCTCCGATAAAGAATCCTGTTCTGCTATTGCCTTCTCGTCTTTGTTCACCTTCGGGGGTAAAATTGGGTAAATTTACCTTACTACAGGGTATTTCCAATCTAGTAGCACAACAGAAAAAGCAATGAATCAATATAAAAAAGAAATTTCTATGTTTTGAAAAGGGCGCTATTTTGATTTTTGTTTAGAGAAACACGTGGCGCCATATACTGTTTGATGCTAAAAATGAGCTTTTTGGTTTCGCCGATAGGGTGCGCAAAAATGACATCGTTCTTTAGTTCTCATAATCAACACTAGATAGCGTTGTTATAGAAAAAGCGTTACTTTTCAACTTGATTTTTTATGTCGATTCATCACTTCTACTCGCAAACGTTTTACCTTTGCATCGTCAGCATCTCGTAAATTAGAATCCAACATAACGTCTGCCGGCAAATTATCCTCTATTTTAACATTACGCTGCTCAGGGACCAGCATAGAACTCTTAGATCTCCTTCTTCTCCTTTTCTTTCCCGTATTTCGCTCGCTCCTCACCAAGATCACCTCTCTAGGATTATCCCGTTTCTGTACGGCTGTTTCTCTTAAAATGGGAGTGAGTTGTGATCGGGAGGGTCGTTTCTTAGCCGTCTCCCGAACAGATTTTTTGCTCGAATCCGATTCTACATTTTGGATCTTATCCTGACCATCGTTCTGTCTCTTCTTTCGCCTTGTCGATCGTTTATCAGCAATCTCACGCGCTCTAGACTTCCCAGAATTCTTCGTGGACCTCTTGGCTAGATTTTCCCGTTTTTCAGAAGGTTCCGACTCAGCACTTTGCTCTTCGTCGTCGTCTTCGAGCTCGTGCAATTCATCAAACTTCGCATTATTCTCCTCGATCTCCCTGATACGCTGTTTCTCTGCAATCTCCCTCTTAATCTCCTCTTTTATCGAGTCAATTTTCCTCTGAATCTGTTCTTCAACTCTTTTCTCATAATCACCATCCAGATCTTGAGGTATCCCTTCGGTATTCTTCGAGGAATCTAGCTTAGCAACGTCCTTAGACGCGGATGTCTCCGCAGCACTGTCAACCTTCGTTGCTTCTGGGCTCGATACATCAGCAACCTTTGACTCTTCCACTTTGACAGACCCTTTGAGCCCTGAAGACTCGCTAGCCAAACGGTTGGTCGCTTTGTCACCTGACAAATTGACATCCTCCTCTGTCTTCTTCTCTGCAGCAGCCTCCGGGGTTTCCTGATTCAAAGTTTTCGAATTTTCATCGTTCTTGATCTCAGTCTGATCGGTAATTGCTGACGACTGCTTAGAGACAGCAGCTTCTCGATCAGGATTCACTTTGGACTCCTCCTGTTTCTCAGCAGCGTTTCTCTTTGAATGTTCCTGTCCATTCGAATCCACTTTGCTCGACTGACTGTCCAACGCTTTGTCCGACCCTTCAGGAACGACGTCTCTCTTCAGTGATGCGTCTGGATTGGTTGCATCGCTGGAAGAATCACTTGCACTCACAGCGTCCTCAGATTTCGCTGGAACCTGAGGAACTTCTCCCTCCTTGGTGCCATCATGATCCCTCTTCACTCTGGTGTCACCATGGACCTTTTTTTTATCACCTTCGTCGTCCAAAGATTCTTGTTCATCAATCGCTGCGTCTTCTTCGGGTTCAAGAGACTCTTCGTCGATTTCTTCGTAGTCTTCTGCTCCAGAGATGCCTCTTTTCGCTATATCCTTCGGTTCAAAATCGTCGTACAAACTGGATCGTTCTTCTTGATCGATGAATCTGTCTGAATCCTCGCCAACGTGGAACTGACGACTTTTGTACCCAGTTTCTTTGCTCTTCGAACTTGCTGCAGGTTCCTCTTCAGCTTCTTCAGCGTATTCAGATGCGTCCTGATCAGCAGAAGCGTCGTAGTCGGTGGATCTTTTGTCTGGAAGCTTTGGAAGGCCTCTGGAAGATCGCATCGATCTTGACGATGCCTTGTTGGATTTCAACGATCGTTTCTCTTCGTTCAGGGTCTTTTGGTTATTCTTCTTCACAGAATTCTCTCGTTTCACTCGGACGTGTTTGTCGACATCCTGATAGGATTGGGCATCTTTCTCAAGGCTCTGTTTGGTATCGGTTGCGTCGTTTCTCTTTTCGATGGGTCCTCGGAAAATTTGCTCGAACAATGGGTCTACCTTGTTGTGCTGCTCTTCAGCAACGTAGTTGCTAATTTCTGAGTTACTGGTTGAAAGGATGATATGAAAAAATGGCTTCGTTTTGGGACTGTAAAGTGATACTGAAATGAAGAGTATTATTTCATACCTGATAGGGTCTTTGACAAATTCTGGATAACAATAGGATGATATTGAATGAAGTAACATCGACAGGACGAGAATGTGCGCACAGTTTAAACGGAATCGTTTGATCATCGTGTTATAGAGGAGACATTTTAACACAGATTATTTGCCAATGAATAGGTGAACTACTTTCATATTTGGATTATGTTTGTAGGAATAAATTATGTATCGGGTGACGTTGGAGCTGCATGAATAGAGCAGCTATAAATCATGATCGATAGAGACTACGCTTTTGTTACGATCCACTCGGTGTCATGGCAATTTGAATATTAGGTTCAGTGGAAAATTAAATTGCAAGGTGTGTACAAAATAATCCATTTTATTATCTCACGTTCAACTACACACGATAACGTAGTATATGTACAGAGAGATTCAATTCTGCTTTTATTATTTGAATCGTGTTCACACATTTCAGCTAAAATGTGACAGTGTATAAACATTTCAATTTATATTTTATAACAATAGCTAGTGACATCGTTATTTCGCTACGTAAAAACACTTTTTTATATTTACAGCAATGCGATTAGCGTTAACATGATTTTCTTTTAATTTTATAAACGATACGTAACATAATCAATTTTTCTCCACTCGATGGTATATAAATCTAGTATACATACTCGAGTTTAATGTTACGATTTATTTTCAATGAAATTAAACATTATCGAGTCCATGGAGCGATTTGTTCACACAATTTGAGAACAGCTCTTGGTCTCAGTAAACAAAAAAATTATTTGCAATTAATCCTCTGAAAGTTTTGACGGGGTGAAGAGAAAAAAATTAAGAAGTAAAACTAAGAAGTAAATTGTAAAACGTCTTTATTCTATCAAGAACATATATAAACCAAAAATAAAGTAAAGAAACAAATAATAGTAACACGTTCCATAAAGGAACATATGCAGCGTCGATAGGACCTACGAAATTATAAAATCTTCTCTGCTGTGCCTGGAATTAACATCAAAACGATTACAATAAACTTATTAAAGCACGAAGGTTAATTATAACTGGCAGAATGTTAAACGGAAAATAGGAGAGGGTGATATACCAGCAAGATAATAGTGTAGGGAGAATAATATTCAATCGATCTTGTCCTCTTCCTTCATTCGTGTCTTTATTTATTGCTATTGGTAGCAAAAGTTAATGGTATCTGGGTTCATTGCCATGGAACATTATTCTATATTTTGCCCATCCAGACGATCGATGAATATTCTCTCCCTAATTCTTAACAATGAATATGGCTGTTGCATACAGAAGATACGATTAAATATAAAACAAAGCTGACGCTACACGTGATGACCTTTTTATATACTCTAAGTGTCGATCGAACCTGATACAATAATCAGATTCGCCCACGTATCACGGATTTAAGCTCTACTTATTGCTTTGTAATACACGTGGCTTAAAGTGAACAGAAATCTCAACGAACTCTTTCACAGTCAATTGTGTCTTTTTTTTAGGGTGTTTTTAAACTGACTGTAAGATCAATACAGTTTTCCCGAAATACGAGTTCGTCACAGCCTGCAATTTAGTTTACTCTTATAGACCTAATTTTGTTGGACTTGGATAACTTTTAACAATTCTAAACAATAGAAAATTTTGTAACAAAAAAATATTATAATTCTTATGTGTCTATTGCCATGTGAGCACCACAAATTCAATATACCTAAAAAAAAGAAAACTAATTTATATCTTTAGCCTTTCGTTGCAAAAGCTATCAGAAAAAATAACTAACAAATAAATTTATTCTTTTGCGAAGGATATCTTTTTTTTTATTTTTTATTTTTTATTTTTTATTTTTTATTTTAATTACGTCTTCTCCGCCAAATATATTTTTAAATAAATAAAATGAGATTCTTAACGATTTACAAATACAGATCATTTCATGAAATGTAGAAGAAAAGAAACAATTGATTTTACCGATTACTTGGTAGACTTTCAATTACTAAACGAATTATCCTCGCCATGGCGTTCAATAATTACGAATGATCTTTTGTAATCACGTCGGGTAATAAATTAATTCGAAACGACCGGCATGTAGAACTTATGTTTCGGCGTGTCCCTGGTGTGTTTGAAGGGTGCCTGTTTCGCCTCTATGAGCGCTGCTGGACAGGGTCCCTTGTGTCTGGGCACGAATTCCTTCTTGTACATGCTGGAGGTGACAGTGGTACCATCGCCGAGACTGATATGAGACACATTGGACTGTCTCTTTACTCTTTCGACCTTCTGACTGGCGAAGTTCCCGTAATTTTTAGCTTCGCTGTGCGAATAGAATTTCCCACCAACGGTCAAATTGTCCTGTCGCACGATTCTCTGCGGACGCTCGTAAGTGGACGAAGCCCAAGGGTTCCCTTCCTTATTGCTACGGTGAAGAGATGTCAAACTTCGTCTATCGTTACTCTGACTCGAATTGCTAATGTATTGACCACTTTCAGCCAGGTTCGAGATGCTCTTCTTCTGATCAGCAGCTGTTGAAGAGATCGTGTGAAGAGCCTCCGTAGAGGAAGTAACCCCGCGCCTGTGGAGTACCGCGTTGGTCACATCCGCGGCCGACGAAGAGATCACATTTTTCCTGTGATGACTGGTCTTGGTGAAGGTACTGTCTAATTGCGATCTTTCCGATTGACCACTGATAGCCTGTCTAAACTCTGCGCTACTCGATTGATTAGAATTATAACGAGCCTGGCTGGAGATGGTATGGTGTTCGTGTTGCTGCTTCTGCCTGCTCGATGTCTGTCGCGACTCCACGTGTTGAGTATTCACGTAATCGCGTTTGCTGCTTTCTTGCTGCTGTCTTTCCAAATGTTTCAGGTGCTGCTCGGTGTGTCTGCTGTCTACCAGCTGCCCGCGATGAGTCTGGACATCGGTAGACGACTTGTCATCCAATTGACGTCGAGTTTGGCTGACATTCTGCGACCTTAGGTGTTCACTGGAGTGTACTCTCTGATGATGCTCGTTCGTATACTGGTGATTGTTCCTGGAATCTATCTGAGTATGATGTTGAACGTTCTGAGAGGATATACGTTCGGCAGCTTGAGCGGAAGTGATCTTCTTAGCTGTTGTAATCACCGTTCCGTTCTCCAGAATCTTGGATTCTGTGCTGACGTTTCTCTTGGTATCTGACTCCAGGCTGCTGATTTTTGCGGCGACCTCCTTGCCAGTGCGTTTAGTGAAGGTGTTGAAGTTCCTCTGATTGGCGGTGGAGATCATGGAAACGTCATCGCCGAGGGTGATCGAGGATTCCATATGGTGTCTGCGACTGACGGTCTTTCCAGCTGGTGAATCCTCCTTCTTGGTAGGCGCAAACATGTCTCTGTTGGTTGTTTTAGTTTCCATAGACGCGGTGCTGACTTTCAGATTGTCCTCGTGACGCTTGATCTCAGCGCGTTCTCCACGCACCACCGTGTAGGTAGATCTCTGCGAGGTGCTGTCTTGAAAGTCGCCGGTCATCTTCAGGTTATCCTCGCGACGAATTACCTCTGCCCTTTCGCCTCTCTTCGGGGTGAAATCATCTCGTGGTCTTCCTATGAAATCTCCCTCCGGCTTCAAATTGTCCGAGTGTTTGATGGGCGACCTTCTCTCCCCGGGTCCTTGAGGAGATTTCTGAGGACGCTCGAAGTCTCCTTCGGGTCGGAGATTGTCAGGGTGCTTCTTAACCGGTGTCCGTTCAACGGCGACGTGCGTGTAGTCGTCCTTGCGTCGCACGTCGATGAACTCACCCTCGATCTTCAAATTATCTTCCCGCTTCCTCATGTCTACCCTCTCGACCTTGGTAACCTTCTTGTAATCGTCCCTCGAACGACGAACGTCTATCTCTCCCTCCATCTTAAGATGATCTTCATGGCGACGTATTTCCATTCGTTCTCCATTAACGTGTCTGTAATCGTCCTTGGACGAAGGACTGACTTCCATTTCGCCTTCTGGTCTCAGATTATCCTGAGGTTTCCTAACAGGAGCACGTTCGCCTCGCTTGGGTGTGTAGTCGTCCTTCGGCACGATGTAGAAGTCGCCTTCTGGATGGAGGTTGTCCTCGTGACGAATCGGAGTACGTCTTTCGGCTGGACCTACCTTCTGAGGCGTTCGTTTGGTAAACTCACCTTCAGGGTGGAGATTGTCCTTGGGTCTCTTAACATCGGCGCGTTCTCCTCTCGTTGGAGTCTCTTGCCGAGGTCTTCCAGCGAATTCTCCTTCTAGGTGGAGATTATCTGGATGTTTGATGGGCGAGCGTCTCTCTGCTGGGCCAACTGGAGACTTCTGAGGCCTCTCAAATTCTCCTTCGGGTTTAAGATTGTCCTTGGGCTTCTTGACCGGTGCCCTCTCACCCTTGGTGGGCGTGGGCGCCTTAGGACGTTGCGCGAATTGTCCTTCAGGCTTGAGATTATCAGGGTGTTTAATGGGCGTCCTTCTTTCAGCGGGACCAACCGGAGACTTCTCTGGTTTCTCGAATTCTCCTTCAGGTCGAAGGTGATCTTCGTGTCTGACGATCTCGCTGCGTTCTCCACGAGTCACTCTGTAATCGTCTCGTCTTCGAATGTCAACGAATTCACCCTCCATTTTCAGATTATCCTCTCGACGAACAACATCAACGCGCTCCACCTTGGTGATGGTTTTATAATCGTCTCTGGACCTGTGGATGTCAATGTCACCTTCCATCTTCAAGTTGTCTCTGTGGATCACGATCTCGGTCCTCTCTCCTTTCGTGGGTTTGTAATCGTCCTTGGGCTTGCCAGTAAATTCACCCTCGGGTTTCAAATTGTCCTTGGGTTTCTTTTGTACCGGCCTCTCAGCACGTTTCGGAGTAAAGTCATCCTTGGGTCGTCCCGCGAATTCTCCTTCAGGATAGAGATTGTCTTCGTGACGTATCGGTGTTCTCCTCTCTGCCGGACCAACCGGAGATTTCTGAGGTCTCTGGAATTCTCCTTCCGGTTTCAAATTATCTTTCGGCCTGGTCACATCCGCTCGTTCACCTCTGACAGGCGCTTCCTCTTTAGGACGTCCAACGAACTCTCCTTCTGAACGCAAATTGTCCGGATGTTTGATGGGACTTCTCCTCTCAGCAGGACCAACCGGTTTCTTCTCTGGCCTCTCGAAGGTTCCTTCTGATTTCAAGTTATCCTTTGGCCTCTTTACGTCTGCCCTTTCGCCCCTCTTCGGCGCCTGTTCCTTCGGTCTTCCAATAAATTCACCCTCAGGTTTCAGATTATCCTCGTGTTTAATAGGTGTTCGTCTTTCAGCAGGACCAACGGGTTTCTTCTGTGGTCTCTCGAACTCTCCCTCCGGCTTCAAGTTATCTTCCGGTCTCTTGATCTCCGGCCTTTCCGCTCTCTTCGGCGAATAATCGTCTTTTGGACGACCCTCGAACGGACCCTCTGGTTTCAAATTGTCCGGATGCTTCACCACCTCCACGCGTTCTCCTTTCACGACTTTGAAATCGTCTCTGGTTCTCACATCCGTGAACTCACCTTCCATTCGTAAATTATCTTCATACTTGGTCACCTCTGCTCTCTCGCGAACCAGGAAATCGGTGTACTCGTCCCTGGATCTGTACGTCTCTATGTTTCCTTCCATACGAAGGTTGTCTGTTCGTTTGATGATGTCGACGCGTTCACCACGAACAGATACGAAGTCGTCCTTGGGTCTACCTTCGAATGATCCTTCAGGTTTCAGATTATCCTCGGGTCTCTTCACGTCGGCACGTTCCCCTCTTGTTGGTTTGTAATCATCTTTTGGTTTACCAACAAATTCTCCTTCGGGTTTCAAGTTATCAGGATGCTTGATGGGCGTGCGCTTCTCAGCGGGTTTAACCGGAGTCTTTTGCGGTCGTTCAAACTCACCCTCTTGGCGAAGATTGTCCTGAGGTCTTTTCACGTCTGCCCGTTCGCCACGCTTTGGAGCTTCCTCCTTTGGCCTTCCAATAAATTCACCCTCGGGCTTCAAGTTATCAGGATGTTTAATGGGTGTTCTCCTCTCCGCTGGACCGATCTTCTTCGGTTCGGGTTTCTCAAACTCTCCTTCAGGGTAGAGATTGTCCTTGGGTCTCTTCACGTCAGCTCTGTCACCTCTTCGCGGAGCTTCCTCTTTCGGACGTCCGATAAATTCACCTTCCGGCTTCAAGTTATCCTTCGGTTTCTTAACCTCTGGCCTCTCAGCAGGCCTGTACTCTTCATGTTTCGGTCTTTCGAATTCGCCTTCCGTTTTCAAATTATCAGGGTGCCTGATAGGAGTACGCCTCTCTGCGGGTCCAACAGGTTTCTTCTCTGGCCTCTCGAAGGTGCCTTCTGGTTTCAGGTTGTCTTCCGGTCTTCTGACATCCGCTCTTTCGCCTCTGGTTGGCGTCTCTTCCTTTGGACGTCCAATGAATTCACCTTCAGGCTTCAGATTATCTTGCGGTTTCTTCACGATTGGTCTCTCAGCTGGTCTGAACTCTTCCGGTTTAGGCCTCTCGAATTCCCCTTCCGGTTTCAAGTTGTCGGCGTGTTTGATGGGAGTCCTCCTCTCAGCCGGTCCAACGGGTTTCTTTTCAGGTTTCTCAAACTCTCCTTCAGGCTTCAAATTGTCCTCTGGACGCTTGACTTCCGGCCTCTCTGCTCTCTTGGGAGAATAATCATCCTTCGGACGACCTTCGAATGGACCTTCGGGTTTTAAATTGTCAGGATGTCTCACGATATCGGCGCGTTCTCCTTTCACAACCTTGAAATCGTCTCTGGTTCTTACATCGGTAAATTCACCCTCCATTCGCAGGTTGTCCTGGTATCTCGTAACTTCCGCTTTTTCACGGATCACGAAGTCCGTGTATTCGTCCCTGGATCTGTAGGTTTCAATGTCTCCCTCCATTCGAAGGTTATCCGTATGCTTCACTATCTCAACTCGTTCACCACGAACGGGTTGATAATCGTCCTTAGGTCGGCCTTCGAACGGACCTTCAGGTTTCAGATTGTCTTCAGGTCTCTTAACCGGAGCTCTGTCTCCTCTGGTTGGAGTGAAGTCATCCTTGGGTTTGCCAACAAACTCTCCTTCCGGTTTAAGATTGTCTGGGTGTTTAATAAGTGTTCGTCTTTCGGCTGGACTAAACTTCTCTGGACGAGGACGTTCAAAGTCTCCTTCTGGTTTCAAGTTATCCTTAGGTTTCTTCACTTCGGGTCTTTCAGCAGGACGGTATTCTTCGTGATCGGGTCGTTCAAAGTCGCCTTCCGGTCTCAAGTTATCCGAATGTTTAATAGGTGTTCGCCTTTCAGCTGGACTAAACTTCTCTGGACGAGGACGCTCGAAGTCTCCTTCTGGTTTCAGGTTATCCTTAGGTTTCTTCACTTCGGGTCTTTCAGCAGGACGGTATTCTTCGTGATCGGGTCGTTCAAAGTCGCCTTCCGGTCTCAAGTTATCCGAATGTTTAATAGGTGTTCGCCTTTCAGCTGGACTAAACTTCTCTGGACGAGGACGCTCGAAGTCTCCTTCTGGTTTCAGGTTATCCTTAGGTTTCTTCACTTCGGGTCTTTCAGCAGGACGGTATTCTTCGTGATCGGGTCGTTCAAAGTCACCTTCCGGCCTCAAGTTATCCGAATGTTTAATAGGTGTTCGTCTTTCAGCTGGACTAAACTTCTCTGGACGAGGACGCTCGAAGTCTCCTTCTGGTTTCAAGTTATCCTTAGGTTTCTTCACCTCGGGCCTTTCAGCTGGACGGTATTCTTCGTGATCGGGTCGTTCAAAGTCGCCTTCCGGTCTCAAGTTATCCGAATGTTTAATAGGTGTTCGTCTTTCCGCGGGGCCCACCCAAGGCTTCTCTGGTCTTTCGAACTCACCCTCAGGATATAAATTGTCTTGAGGTCTCTTAACCTCTGGACGTTCAGCTCTCTTCGGAGAAAAGTCGTCCTTTGGTCTTCCTTCGAAGGGACCCTCAGGTTTCAGGTTATCCTCTGGACGTTTCACGTCAGCTCTTTCACCTCTGGTAGGTTTATAATCATCCTTTGGACGCCCTTCGAAGGGACCTTCCGGTTTCAAATTATCTTGAGGCCTCTTAACCTCAGGACGTTCTGCTCTCTTCGGAGAGAAGTCGTCTTTTGGTCTTCCTTCGAAGGGACCCTCAGGTTTTAGGTTATCCACTGGACGTTTCACGTCAGCTCTTTCACCTCTGGTAGGTTTATAATCATCCTTTGGATGCCCTTCGAAGGGACCTTCTGGTTTCAAATTATCTTGAGGCCTCTTAACCTCAGGACGTTCTGCTCTCTTGGGAGAGTAGTCGTCCTTTGGTCTTCCTTCGAATGGACCTTCCGGTTTTAAGTTATCCTCCGGACGTTTCACGTCAGCTCTTTCACCTCTCGTTGGTTTATAATCATCCTTCGGACGTCCCTCGAAGGGACCTTCAGGACGAAGGTTATCATAATGTTTAATAGGTGTTCTTCTTTCCGCAGGTGTGAATGGAACGCGTTCTCTGTCTGGGAAAGCACCTTCAGGGAACAAGTTATCCGGATGACGAACGATGGCCGCCCTTTCACCAGGACCATAAGGTACAGGCGTAGGTCTTTCGAATTCTCCTTCAGGAAACAAATGATCCGAGTGTCTGATAGGAGTACGCCTCTCACCAGGAGTGTACACGTCCCGGGGATGATCTTCAAATTCTCCTTCAGGGAACAAATGATCCGGGTGTCTGATAGGAGTACGCCTCTCACCAGGAGTGTACACGTCCCGGGGATGATCTTCAAATTCTCCTTCAGGTCGGAGATTGTCCTGAGGTCTTTTAACTTCTGGACGTTCTGCGGTTTTCGGTGTAAAGTCATCTTTCGGTCGTCCTTCGAACGATCCCTCGGGTTTCAAGTTGTCCTGAGGTCTTTTTACATCTGGACGTTCTGCTCTCTTAGGTGAGTAATCGTCCTTTGGTCTTCCCTCGAATAGTCCTTCAGGTTTCAGGTTATCCTGAGGTCGTTTTACATCAGCCCGTTCACCCCTTGTTGGTTTGTAATCATCCTTTGGACGTCCTTCGAAAGGACCCTCAGGACGAAGGTTGTCTTCAGGTCTCTTTACTTCTGGACGTTCAGCACGTTTTGGAGAATAGTCATCCTTTGGACGACCTTCAAACTGACCTTCAGGACGAAGGTTGTCTTCAGGTCTCTTTACTTCCGGACGTTCAGCACGTTTTGGAGAATAATCATCCTTAGGTCGTCCTTCAAATGGTCCTTCAGGCTTCAAATTATCCTGTGGTCGTTTGACATCAGCTCTTTCGCCTTTGGTAGGCATATAATCATCCTTAGGTCGTCCTTCAAATGGTCCTTCAGGTTTCAAATTATCCTGTGGTCGTTTGACATCAGCTCTTTCGCCTCTAGTAGGCATATAATCATCCTTAGGTCGCCCTTCAAAGGGACCTTCGGATTTCAAATTATCTTCCGGTCTCTTAACTTCAGGTCTCTCTGCGCGTTTCGGTGTGAAATCATCCTTAGGGCGTCCTTCGAAAGGACCTTCCGGTTTCAGATTATCCTGTGGTCTCTTTACTTCTGCTCTTTCACCTCTGGTTGGCACGTAATCATCCTTCGGCCTTCCTTCGAAAGGTCCCTCTGGTTTCAGATTATCCTTGGGCCTCTGTGGTTCCGGTCGCCTGGTTATAGCCGGCACAACGTAGTCGTCCTTCGTTTGGGGTACACCTTCGAAAGGTCCTTCGGATTTCAAATTGTCATCTCTTCTAATCACAGCTGTGCTTCGGTAATCAGTTTGATCAAAACTTTTATATTCTTCCTGCGTGGTCGTGGTGCTCTCCATTGTATCGGTCTTGCTGTAAAACCGGTCATCTTCGTCCGTGTAGGTGATTCGTCGTCGAGGCTGCCTCTCGACGTTATCGTAGCTATGGAAATCCTCTTTGAGATGAGAGGTACCCTGTGACATTCAGATTTGCCGTTCGATAAGGGATACAGATAACTAAGACAACAGGCACTAGATCAGCTAGATAGTTACCGTGAATTCACCCTCTCCCACTGTGAGGTTGTCCGTTCGCTTGATGATCTCGGCCCGTTGTACGGTTCGATGATCGATGTACTCGGATCTTGCAGTGGTTTCGTCGATAAATTCACCCTCGACCTTCGTGTAGGTGTTGCGGCGTATAGGGGTTGGTCGTTCGCCGGGTGTTCCGGTAAACACCAGCTCCGTGGTGGTAGTACCTATACATTCGATAACGAATTATTAATATGCTGTAACTACAAGGTGTTAAAAAATACCCTGAAGACCTCTACACAGCTGGATAGATCACGGAAAATTGAAGTGAAAAGTTTTGTAGCAGTTTTCGATGGGATCAGTAGTTTAGCCATATTTCGTTGTTGAAAATTGAAAAATTGACCAATCAGCCGCGCCGCTGAGCATCACGCTTACGCATGCGTCGAGTGCAAATAATTTGTTTATTTGTCTGTTTGTCTGATTTTTCGTGATCTATCCAACGGTGTAGAGGTTTTCAGAGTATTTTTTAACACCCTGTATACTATACATTATTACACTGTAACTATAAATTACTAACTGTCGAATTCTCCCTCAGGTCGGAGATTGTCCTGGGGTCTCCTGACTGGTGCACGATCTCCATACTTGGGAGCTTCCTCTTTGGGCCTTCCAATGAATTCACCTTCCGGCTTCAAGTTGTCCTGTGGCTTCCTCACCGGCGCTGTCTCCCCTCTCGTCGCCACGTAATCGGTTCGTCTTTGTCCGATGAAATCTCCTTCCAAACGAAGATGGTCTTCATGGTGATATATGGTCTGTCTATCAACCCTTTTCTCATCGAATTCTTCACGGTAAGAACTCACCGCCTGTATCGGCTCGTCACGAGGAAGATCCAAGTGATCTTGAGGTAAATTGTGCGGGCAACGATGTCGTCTAAAAAAATTAAAATAATCTTTTGTAGGTGAAAACTTTTAGGAGCGACTGTAGCTCTCCCTCAAACTGATGTCACGGGAAAATCCTAATTGGACGTCAACCCTAATTCCACGATTGTTCGCGAATATTCATGCACGTCGTCTATAGTGGATTACCACCGTTAAACCATTGATAAACTGGTGAGTATTACAGTGGTGAACGTCAGCACAGTCACGTGCGTGATCATTCTACTAGAAACACGAGTTGCATGTTACCCCTTTCATGATCGCTTTGGTAGATTCCGTGCGCGCCGTACGTTGCTAGATAAGTCTAATTGAAATACGTATCGAGCGAATGCATACTATCCATCGGATTACTCGTTTGATCAAATAAATATACATATATAGGGTGCTTTCAATCAAACTACGTCAATAGAGAATGACACATCGGAATGATCTATAGCTTCAGAGACTTTTAATTTAAAATTTATCTTATCTTCTCTTTAAAACGCCAGTTAATGTATTAATCGAGTCATCGCGACCCAATTTACAAGTCTTTGCAAGCTGATCCATCATCGTCCTTGACCTAATCAGAGATCGATCGTATCAGCAAAGAATCGCTTTCAGCTTCATTGTCGTCAACTTCGACTAACCTTCGAGTGATTCTATATAAGATAAGATGGGCATTATTTATCAATACCATCTCGATATCCTTGATTTTTCGACCGAACAATGATTATCCTTCGCGTCAAGACACGATCGCCTTAAATTCGAAACCGTGATCACCTTGCTCCGAGAGAACTTGTGTCATCGAGCACGAATAAGGAAGAAGAACGAACGACCGATCACGATTGGATAGGAACAACATCCCTTAAAAGGGTTTCTCTGGTGTCCCAGTTTTTTCAATGCATGCGTGCACCCTTGGACTCCCTTTACGAGGTGCCCCGTGGGGAATGATTGACGGTGAATCATTATTATGTAAATGCGAACATATATTTTATTAACCATGATGAGAGTCATCAATGACGAAATAGGTACGATAAAGATGGAGAAAGGAAAGGATGCTGGCTAAAAAAGGAAAGGGAATAAATTGAATGGTAATTCAGAGTTCGAGCCGAAGCTAAAGTCACTCGCGTTAATTTACATCTTTAACCACGTCGCGTTTTGTATTCCAACTTCGTTAACTCGCTTCGAAAGTGGGTCGCGTCGCGATGTTCAATTGAAACGAACGTATCTCGGATAAGGTAAATTGATTCGTGCTGAAAACGGCTCTTTGGGGAGTAATCGTAAACCTACCGATGCTCCTTGCTACTCTTCAGGGTCTAATTTAACGTATGGGAAACGTTCCCTGCGTAAACATTATTTCAATTAAATTTACCTCAATGTCAACGTTTCTATGATAATGAGCTTTAGAATGAAACTTCTTACATACCCGCAGGTGCACAGTTCGCAGATGCACTGCTCCTTCAGAGGAATCTTCGACAGTATGTCGGGTATCTTTCCAGGCTGGACGCTGTCCTCGTCCAAGGAATCTGGAGTCTGATCACCTCTCTTCGGTTTGTCCTCCGGTCGAGTCGGTTTTTCAGGAACCGCAGCCGATTCCTGGCGACTCGGTTTACCTGCAGCAGGTTTGCTTGACGGGGAAACATAATCGCGCGGCTTTTCCGGTGATCTTGCCCTGGTCCCAGATGGTCTGTTCAACAAAAACACATCACAGTCGATTACACTAGAACTACCGACGTTTGGTGCACACTTATTTTTAAGTTGAAAATAATGTATGCTGCTAAATAGATAAAGGATGAAATATAATTTAATATATACATTCATTCCTTAGCTTGATAACAGTCAACGTACATTTCAACAAAAATACCTCGATAAAATTTATAATTTAAGATAGGAAACTGGAAACAAGTCATTTTGATCCCTTTGGTTGTTCTAGTGTTAAGGACATTCTCATTTATTTTATGGCGAAGAAACTTCAATTTTTTTCGGACATTCTGTATACCTTCTTGTTTCGACAGGACTTTGTTCGCGTTTCGTAGGTCGACTCGGTTTCCCTGCAGCTGGTATCGGTTTCGGTCGATCGTCCTCCCGGAGTCCAGGGATTCCTCGAGGATATCCGGGTCGTTCTGGTGAGCTTTTTCGCGGGGTATCGTGGGGTGTACTGGTGGTGAATCTGTCGTACCGGGCGTCGTCAACGACATCCCGGGCTACCATACTAGTCACCTGCACTTTGTCGATGAAATCGCTCGTTGATTTAGTGACATCTCTCTGCGAACAGCATAGAATTTATCAAATTATTTTCGTATTAGTGAATATGAAAGTCTTTCCTTTGTAAATTTGAAGAGCGGAACGTTTCCGAGTCACTGCCACTTTCAGCGACACGAAATGAAATTCGTCGCCGATTATTATCGTTCACGAGAGTATGCAATTAATACTTTGGTATACAGAAAATTAATCGCCTTGCTGTTCACGATTAGTCACGACACGAGTACCACCTTTCTCGTTGGAAACGCGAAGCTCGACTCGCGTCAGGAACGCAGAGATCGCCGGAATTTCATGGAAACGTAATCTTTTGTACGGACTTCCGTCTCGCATCGGTGATTCTTCGTTTAAACCATCCTGGCATAGCTCGAACCAGCGTCAACCAAATAATTATACAAATTCCAATGTTCTATAATCAAATCCGGTATCAGTGAAATTATAATAATTTTTGCAAGCTACCGTAAAGGTAAGGAAACTAAACGAGGCGAATAGCAGCTCGTTTTCCTTGCCATCGTTTCGTTAATTATCGACATGAAAGACGGCGTATAATAAATACCGCCAGGTATCCTAGATTAAAAACGACGTCCACGCTTAGCTGAACGGAATGCAGGTAATACGAGATGAACACGGGTGCCATTTATGCACACGCCAGCATCGTATCGCATAACCAGAGATTCTTTTGCTCTCCGGACCCACTGGACGGGGATTCTGTTTCGTCTTTGAGACTCGACCAAGGTGTCAAACGCGTTAGATATCTATAATTTCCCTCGAACAAATTGGTAACTCTCATATTATGGCCTTTAATTAAAATTATTAATAATTAAAATGTACAAAATGCATTGAAACGAAGTCGTTGAAAAATACTGATATTCCATCGTGTTCATTGTAGAAACGCTGCAAACGGTGACATCATTCACCAGTTTGGTCATTGATAGTTCACCTTGACAGAGAGATTGAGTTGTTTCGAATATGAACGAATGGCAATAAAAATGTTGCGATGCTCAAGCAGAGATAATCGTGGTGATCCAGTATAGAGAGGTCAAGTAAAATCGACCGTGCTGATCGTGGCATGAAATTCAATTGGTTCCGTATCGAACAGACGGCCGATGACATCACTTCCAAACTTGGTTACAGTGTTTCATGGTAATTGTTCGAACCGTGTGGCGTGCATTCGATTAAACTCAATTGCAGGTGTTCTCAAACCAGAATTTGATGACATGAAACTATTGCGAAATACCTTTTGTGGTATATCAAATAAACGTATCATCGATATTCTATACGTATAGAAAATGGCTGGCTGCCAATTTCACTGAACAATAACCAATTTCGAAACGCATAAAGTCTGAAACGATTTGATGACATAAAACGTATCGGAAAATGGCACTTGTGGTATATCAATTGAAAGCTTAAAGTCTAATAAAAACGACTACGTAAGAGTTTTGTTGATATTGATATAAAATGTTTCGTCGTCGTAACAACTCGAGATGAGGTCACTACCAAAGTATGAACACGATTATTATCGTTTTACGTACGCTCGATTGAAGTCGATTGCAGGTGATTGCAGTTGCGTGCACACGACACGAGCCACCGTGGTGGATTCCTCTGTCTCTTATTAGCCGTCTGTTCGAACAGACGTTCGCACCCATTTCATCGCACCCCATTATTATTATTCTCGTACACACGATCGACTCCGAGTCAGCTTAATAATTATTTACATCGTCTAACATGAAATCTATTTGCGTACATTATTGAAGCAGAGGAATTTCAAGCTCGAAAAAAAAATATATATTTTCGTACAGGCTAATCTATTTCTCTGAAATAGATTAATAGATAATTAAATCATTCGTACTTCCTTGTCTGGCAACATCGATCATGGGACACGGAAAATAAAATGTCACACACGCTAAAGGCCCCTCTTCATCCATAATTGGAATATAAACAGCATACGTTTATCGTAAACGTAAACGTAATCGACGTGTTTCGCGATCGAAAAGGCGTTACATGACTGGACGCTATAATTAGTACCAATGCTAATTGTAAACAAAACGCAGACTCGACTTTTTTGTGACACCTTTGACAAGCGAATAGGAAACAGAGATTCGTCTTGTCGAAGATCATTTGAACATTACGTCAACTTTATTTCCAAGTGAACAACACCGGAGAACCTATGACCTTAGCCTGGTTTGGAAGTGAAAGTAACGAGACCGTGCCTCTTCCGCGAGGTGTGCAACCCGACATGTTTCACTTTATTTCCTTTACATCGACACCATTGTAACACGATTATAGCGTGTCATTCGATTTATCAGACGAATAACAATGAATTAGTTAATTAGCTTCTAAATGACGAAGATTTAGAGAAGTTCAGTACCGATTTTGGAAGATTTTCTTCAAAGTTTAGAAGAAATTTCGGACCATTAAAATCATAAGGAGGTTAATAGAATAATAAACGAATCAAGAGAGGAGATAAAGAAATTGCCCACGAACTTTGCCTCGAACTGAATGAAACGCACAAACAATGATTTAATGACGTACATTACGTTGGAATTATCTCAAGCGCGCGATTGCTACAGACCGAATTCATGCAACGAAAGAACAAGAAAGCATTGTCCAAAATGGTACAACCTACTCTCTGTGTAGTAAATGAAGAGATTGACTAATAGGCTGTCTCATTACTCACCAATTCTTCCCGCGTGTCCGTCGTAAATTCGCTGATGACACGTTCCTCGACAACATCGCGGACGTCCTGCACCGAGGTGAAACTGGACGATTGATCGATTACGTAAGAACTCTGAACCACCTCAATATCAGTCTTATCATCCTTAACATCCCTTACATCCGTCACCTCGTGTTTAACAATGGAAATATTGGTATCATCTTTTCTCGGAGCTGAAGGGATCGGTTTGTCGTCTTTAGGCTTAGGGGACAATTCTTTCGGCCCCTTTTTATCGTCTGTGGGTTTCTTCTTTTGGTCCTCAGGTTTTTCGTACACGAAGGAACCATCCCAGGTGGACTCACCAGGTTTGGTTGGTCTCGTGGACCTGTCCCATTTTTCAGGACTCTTGACACGATCTTCAAGAGACTTTTTTCTATCTTTAGCCTCGGTAGGAGTTTTCTTCTCGTCAATTTCACGAACGATCGTCGTAGAAACTTTGGTATCTTCAGGGTGTTTGTCCTTGGGTAACCGAGGAGTTTCGCGTCCAGGTATTTTTCCAGGTTCAATGGGACTCCTTTTATCGTCAATTTCATGAAGATATGTGGTGGAAAATTGCGAGTCTTTAGTTGTATGTTCGAGAGTGCTAGAAGAGACGAATTCGGATTTTTGAACGTCCCTGGAAATGTCCTCCAGAGTGATAGATTTTTCAGTGAAATAGCTTGAATCTTCAGGTTTTCTAGTGTCAGTAGGTGGCTTTTGACTTGGTTTCTTAGAAACATCTGTCGGTGTTTTATCAGCTAGTTTTTCGTACACAAACGAGCCATCCCAAGTGGAGGCGCCAGGTTTCGAAGGTCTGATAGATCGATCTCCCTTATCAGGACTCTGGGGACGTTTCTGAGTGGACTCAGGTTGGTGTTCCAAGGATTTCTCAGTACCTTTGGGTTCTTCGATCGTCACAGTCTTCCGGGTACTCGTAGGCACACCGTCGCGGATGATGACCGTTTCCATGGAAGTAGTAGAATAGTCAAGGTTAGACGAGTCTGAGTAGTTCTCATGAGTCGACTGTTCCACGACGACGAAGGATTTGTCGAAAACCTCGGAAGTACTGGATATCCGCGTATCCCGAAGATCCAGAGTGGTATCGTTGACGTGTCTCCTCGAGGATGGTACAGGACTCTGTCTGGACTCTGGTCGAGGCCTATCAGACTCTCTACTGGGTGGTCTCCTGGTATCTGGTGATTTCTCCACCACAAAGGTTCCATCCCACGTAGAAGCACCAGATTTGGTCCACCTGGTGTCCCTTCCCTTTGGTGTTTCCGGTCTGCTGGGTACACCGTCCACTTTCGTGTCGTGCACCTCGTTGATGGAATTGTCCTCTGATACGTCGCGGATGATCGCGGTGTCCGTGGGTCTCCTTACGTCGGTTACTCGACGGTCAGGTGCTGGTGGTTTCTCGCGAACGAAGCTTCCATCCCACGTAGAAGCACCAGATTTGGTCAACCTGGTGTCCCTTCCCTTAGGTGTTTCCGGTCTGCTGGGAACACCATCCACTTTCGTGTCGTGCACCTCGTTGATGGAATTGTCCTCTGACACGTCGCGGATGATCGCGGTGTCCGTGGGTCTCCTTACGTCGGTTACTCGACGGTCAGGTGCTGGTGGTTTCTCGCGAACGAAGCTTCCATCCCACGTAGAAGCACCAGATTTGGTCAACCTGGTGTCCCTTCCCTTAGGTGTTTCCGGTCTGCTGGGAACACCATCCACTTTCGTGTCGTGCACCTCGTTGATGGAATTGTCCTCTGACACGTCGCGGATGATCGCGGTGTCCGTGGGTCTCCTTACGTCGGTTACTCGACGGTCAGGTGCTGGTGGTTTCTCGCGAACGAAACTTCCATCCCACGTGGACTGACCAGGTCTATAATACCCAGGTGACCTGTCGCGCGTGTGTTTCTCTGGAGTCTGTCGCCGAGATGTGCCTCCTTCGGAATCTTCCTCGAGAATAGTCTCAGAGACGGAAGTCACCTTTTCAGTCTTCTTCTTTTCATCGCTGGTGGCGTACTCGACGACGTAGGACGTCGAGACGGATTCCGATGTACTGGAAACGTTTTGCTCCTCCGTCACGTCTTCGACATCCACGGAATCGTGTCGTTTCTCACTTCTCCTGACCACAGTGTCACCCTTCGATGTTTTCTGCGGTTTTTCCTGTACGAATTGACCATTCCAGGTGGATTCTCCAGGTCTGACGGTGCGTCTAATCGGTTTTCCATCGATGTAAACCTCCTCGCTGACGTTTCTACGCTCCTCGGATAGAAACCTGGACGATTCTGTGCCGCCTTGCACCACGTGAACAACATTCGATGATTTCTTCTCGTAAGAACCATCCAAACTTTTCTCTTTGAAGTCTGATCTCTGCGTCGACTCGATAACGTTGTCTGCTCCAGGGTGATGGAAGACAGAATCGTCTGAAACGTTTCTTCTCCTGGATTCAGGGGTTTTTTCTATCACGAAAGTGCCATCCCAAGTCGAATCACCTGGCCTGTTGTATCTACTCGAGTCCTTCGACTGCACCTCTGTCGTGATTATCTGTTTCTCTCCGGATTTATCCAAACTCGAAGAAATTTGCTCGCGACTCGTCGAACAGACGTCTGTATAAGCTTCGTCGACGACGATCTTCGAGTCGTGGATCACCGTTGACGAAGAAACTCGTTCAGAGACTTCAGCTTTTGAAACCGTATGATCTACTTTCCCTTTTTCCACTCTGGTCGTCTGTTTCTCCTTAACCGGTGATGGACTTTCGACGATAAACGTGCCGTCCCACGCAGATTGTCCAGATTTGCTGAAACGCGAGACGTCGGTCTTCGCGACGCTCTTCGCGGTGCTTTCGCCGGAAGAAGAGTCCAGTACGATCTTGTCGCTGATAGTCCTGACGTCATCGGAGAATTTAACTCGACCCTGATCAGAAGGTACGACCATGGTCTCGTGCTCCACGTTGCGGGTCTGCGAGGCCGTCACTCGTCCATTGTCGTCCACTTTCTCGCCCGCCTCCTGGATCTTTGACGTACTTGAAACCGTCTGGCCATCCTTCGTCGTCGCCTCGTACGTTTCTTTGCTAGATTGTTTACTCTCCATCGATTTAGACGACGTCTGTATCTGTGGTACCTGTTGTTCACCGTTCACGGTACCGTCGGAGACCATCTTCGTCGACGATCGACCTTGATGACGGTCCTCCACGATCGTGCTCGAGGACACTGACTTCTGAACGCTTTCTGCACGCGATTCGCTGCGAGTTTGAATCTCTGACGAACTACTGACTCTTTCAGACGTGAGACAAACATCGAGGTCCTTGTTTCGTGCATTATCCTCGATCATCGACCTACCTTGTTTCACGGACTGTACCTGTTCTTCCTTGATGAAATCCTGGGATGTTTTCCCTGATTTATGAGAGGACATCGTCTGACCTACGATCTGCGGAGGTGTTTCGATAATCTTGACGATGTTACCCTTGGAATCCATGATCACTTCACGACTCGCACTGGTTACCTCGAACACGCTGCTCTTCGACTCGCTCTCCACCACTTGTCGCGCCTCCTCGACGAAACTCGTCGACGACACGACTTCCACCGTCTCGACGGTGGTCATGTCGCTTGACGAACTCGTCGCCACTTCCTTTTTCGACGTTTTATTTTTCTCGTTCGCGCCACTCGTTGTTTTCTTGCGTATAGTCATTTTCAAACACTTGTTCGCTCGCAGTCTTGCTTCTCATACGAATATCTAACTCGCGCACAAATACTGAAAAAAAAAAAAAAAGAACAAAGGCAGCAAGAAGCGTATTGAAATCTGTTTACGATCGGTAAGCGTTAAAGAAGAAACACACAACGTTTAAGCGTCGATCTCTCGGGCCGAACTGAAGCTTCACCACGACTGGCCCCGTTTACAAACTCGTTTCTCTTCGTCCCTGAAGACTCGCGTATGCATACCCGCGATTCGCTATTCCCCACTCTGCCTCTTTATGGCGGGAGTTTAACTAGTCTCTCTCGGTGCAGAACGTCCAAGAAGAAGAGGAAAGCTTATTGTAACGATGCTCTCGGTCCAGCACCGTGTGTCGTTGTGGCATCGACGGTTACTCGGTGGCCCTAGTTGACCAGACGGTAACTCTCAGTCACGGTTGCTCTCAGTCGCTACCATTAAATAGGCATATAAGGCCGATTCGATCACCCTACCTTCTTTCTTCTCTCTTCAGACTCTCTTCAACGTTCGCAGAACCTGGATTCTTTATTGTACATACACCGTTCGCGTGGGTCGAGATATACGATTTTCCGTCTCTTTTCGTTTCTTTCCGTCCGCAACGAGACCTTTCGGTCACCGGTGTGGACGAAACTTCGTAAAAGAACCAGAATTTGTTATTTTTCAAAATTATACCGCGCACATTTTCGAAGCAAGCGAGAAATAAAAATACACAATTCTTCACTCTCACTGGAGAGCATGGGCGATTACACGTAAGCGAAGAAAACGCTGTTCGAAGTGTTATCACAGGCAGAACGTAGTTGTAGGCGTACAACACATGACACGTTTGACGTTTACTCTTTCCGCTTTCTATCGTAGAAAATTACGTCGACTCTACTAGGAAAGCGATTGCAATTTTCCATTGGCTGCTTCTCAACCACAATCATTTTCATAGCATTAATAGAATATCAAAGATTGCATTTCGTACAAAAAAAAAGGAAAAATAGCAAAGTATCAAAATGCTAATAAACAGTAGCATTACATTCCTCATTATCACTACCAATGACTCTATCTCTGTTGATAAGTGACTTTAACCGATGAATACACTTGGATTGTAAATCTTTTTCCTTGTTGGTTTAATGATGTTTTGTCTTCGTCTTTTCTGGAAAAATATTTCGCAACAGAGGATGAATACAAAATGAGAATGAGACTAAAAAGAGAGGGGGGACACCTTCGAGGAACCGGTCTCTCGTGATGTCTCGATGTAAACTGGGCGATGACGTAGCTTACAGATCAGCGACGACCAGCATCGTTTTCTCTTAAAGTATCCCAGCGCTTTATCAATTCGTTCATCTATACGTTCCTAATTAACACCTTGATCAAATTTTGTACACGTCATTCAGCTGGAATATAATCCAATAATCGTTATTTTCACGTGGATGCAGTGGCTGATTGCAGCGTCGGCAGTGTTGTTAACGAGCCAGCAAACTCAAAGGAGTTATCGTGGAATTGGCTCTGGTACCGGCGTAATTTATCGCCAGAAATCGCGACTCCCCAGGAGAGACTTATTGCCAACGTCGCGTCGTTCCTAAAATCGTGCAGACTAACCGCAACCCTTTTGCTATCAACCACTTATGTGTACATGAATGAATCTCGAGCGCTGTGATGGTGTGGTGACCAGCCGATTATTTAACGAGGACAGTAATTCTTGCGTATCGTGACGTTAATGTCGTCGATTCGTAATTACCGAGGATTACAAAAAAATGAGTAAGAATTCGCACAGGCTTGGTGCGGGAAAAATGACTCGGTGATGTAACAGGAAATGCGATCACGATGTCCTTCGAAGCGATACGTGCGATTTATTGAAACGACAAGATCGTTAAATTATCCACGGATTGACACGTAGACAAGGTATGCAATGCGTTGCAGTATCGTGTCCGTAGCATTCTTCTTCCAAGATTTTCTTGAAAAATTGACTCGCTCATCAGGCTATTTTTATCCCCGTTCCAAAAAGATGGAACTGCAACGAATATGTTTGAGTTATGAGTAATAACAGAGAGGGCCAGATAAGGAGACTCGAGGCTCTTGTTTCGCGAATTCATCATCCAGTGTTGCAGGACCAGTACCAAAAAAATATCGGGGACACGGAGAGTGCATACGATTGATCCCGATTCCAGACGATCTCGATTAAGGAGCGAAAGTACCACACCCGTGTGCAAACGTTTCCCGTAAAAAGTGTTGTCAGGTCATGGCGTGGGCAGGAACCGTGCAAGTATCGCCAGCCGAGACCAACTTCGATGCCCCGTATTTGGTGAACACGTTGAAATACGTAGGCGAACCGGTCGTCCGCGTCATCCGTGGACCAACCGATACACAAACGACCAATGATACCCATTACGTTCGGGTAGAAACACTATCGAACGATTCTTCTTCTTCTATTAGCAAGGTAAACGTACGTGGAACCTCTGTTCAATGAGTCATTCTTCTGAAACGTTGCTCATTCACCTGTACTTAATTATTTCGTTTTTCTCTGTTCATCGATGAGAACTGTAGCAGACGAATTCAGATGTCTTAAAGTGTATCAGAAAAAAAAAATGAGTAAAAATATGACGAATGATTCATGAATTGCATTTGAATTCGACGAATAAAAAGAACAAATGACCTTTGTTCGATGAATTCACGTGATCCATTTGCGTTTACACGCGAAGAAGGTCGCGATCGAATTCCATCGCAGCGTCACGCCGCGATGCCTTAATCAGCGTGTTTTTTGAGAGCGCTGCGTATCGAAAGGTGACGTACGATGCTTCGAAATCGATCGTTTCTCACGGTTCGTACACCATCGATATTTATGGTCAACAGGGTTAAGTAAGTATTCGAAGGAAAAATTAAAGTCAACCGCCTTGCGTAAATCAGGCTACCCATTTGTAAGTTTCCCTATTGCCTAACCAGAAAAGACTCTCGTGGCATTTTTTTTTTAATAATGGATCGCGAAATAATGAAGCACGGCTACGATCCTTCTTTCCTGACATTAATTAACGTCAAAAAAAAGTTCATTTTGTAAAAATGAAACGACGTTACTTTGACCTTTATTCCGGGTTCAACGTTCCATCGATCTTCGCGTGAATCGGCCCCTTGGAAAGTAACGACCAATTAAAATACCATCCTCGAATTTTTCCTATCGAAATTATATACTGTACGCTGTTGCATTCGAGGCTAAAGACCCATAAACGGGCATACGAATTTGCCCATCGGACTCGGTGCAATAGAAACGAATGATGCGAATGCATTTGCAGTCCGTGATGTCATGGATCGTTTCGTTCGGCCGTCTCACGTGTAAGAACGCCGGATAATCCTCAATACAACGATAAATATTCCAGAACGTTTGCAAAGTCCATCGAGATAAGTACTTATGTAGTTCAGCGTGCGTAAGTGGACGAGAGCACACGTTTCTCCGTATACAGAGTGTACCATAACACGTGGCCATGTTTTACATTGGCAGGCGCTAATATTAACATTTTTCGGGAAACTATCGACCTATTGACCTATATATTGGGTAAATGTGAACGCACGCGAGGTCCATCTTGTTTGTAATGAATTTCATGGAGAATCGTGCCAGTACACGGTGAAAATGTATATACATATATGTCTTTGGCATTGCGGATGCGGTTACCAAAGAGAGAGTATTGATGAAACAACAGAAAGTGCGAGGAATACAGTACTGAAAGAATGATCAAATTCTCTAATTACTTATATACAGTTTACATAGTCATCCTAGATTTGTTAAGTTCTATAATCGTTTTAAATACAATTTTCATTCCGCTATAGAAAATCGTATACTATCAGTACCATGAATGATAGAAGTAAAACTCTGGTGAAAATCGATCGCAATTGTCGTATGAATGTACACCGTGACATTCAAAATATCGCGTAATTCAAGAATAATTCAAGAATAGAATCAAATACACGAGGTTACTGTACAGACATCGATACAATAATTCCACTTTCATCTCTCTTCTTCTTTTCACTGATAATATGTTTAATTGCTTGTAATTACAACTGATTGATGCCTCGGCGAATGCTATGGCCTTCAAAGAAAACCGATACGCGTTCCGAAAGATTATATCGCGTATAGAGCCCCTGAAAGGACGGCAAACGGTATAGCACAGCTGTCAGACATGCGGTGTTGTCGCAGGCACTACGATAATTTATTCAGTTTTTCGCAGAAACAGTTTAAATTTGCAGTTTCTATAAATAATTATCTGTCATAATACACAATTGCGATTAGAATATCAAGAAAAAAGGAAAGAAGGAGATTAGACGTCAGTAAATGCGATAAACTTATAATCTCATACGTTTCTTATTAAATTGCATCACTAATTCGAAGTATTGATACAATTAAAGAAACCATATTTCGATGGTGATATATTTTAATCAAATAAAGTTTATCTTTCTTTATCGAATAGAAAGTTTCGATAAATGAAGGTATCACTTACCTTTTATGTTATTCTACATGGCGTATCGATCGTCGGTTTTGAGCGAAACAACAGCGATTTCTCGATCATTGTCACGCTCATTTTTAAACAGGACGTAACGAAACGACACATAAATTTTTATTAACATTACCGAACGATCGTTTGGTGCACATTCGGTAACGGCAGGACGCCGTTGCACCGACGGCGGTTCGCACCTCACAGATGCATCGCGACGTCTGACGTTCCCGCGTCCAATAGCGTCACGATGACGTTGCCATAACAACCGCGCATAACAATGTTTGCGCATGACCCTTACCTGTACATTGTGCCACCTTTTTCGCGGTAATATACGGAATAATGAAAGTAACATTTATTGCCTGAAATAAAGCATGGTACGTAAAAATTTATATTTCATGATGTATTATATTTCAATACTCGTTGAGAATATGGTTAATAGTTATACGAAGGAAGTAGCAAAATAAAAATATAAAAATAAATTCAGGTTTCTTAGATTTATATGGTATATCTGTTTTCTGTCAAATACAAAATAATGTATTTAAAAAACAAAACAGAACTTATATAAAGAAGCAGTCATCAGGTTAGAAATAAAATTTTATATGTACCATTACTGGATACAGGAAAAACGAGTAAATCTAAAATGTTAGTTTTATTGACAGTTTATTTAGATATACAAGTGATTAAGACAAATATACATAATGAAGCTGTATAAAGCTTTGTACTTTGAATCCATTGCTTATCGTACTAATAATGCATTAATAGGACTAAATAACCTTACACCATGATTTTTATTGTGCATAACTTTTATCAATTTACTTTTAATTTATATAAATTTCTACAAGCATGCATTGAAATCAGTAAAAATGATAAGTAACGTATTTATATATGAAATAACAAAAATATGATTTCAGAATAATCCTTCATATTACAAGTAAAATATTATAGTACTAATTATTTCATAAACAGTGACAAATATGCCTACAAAAAATGCTAGTGCTCTATGTGGCTGTTTCTGAAGAATAGTATACGATATTGTATGAATAATTCTAGCAATCACAAAAGTTCTAATTAAAGTCCCAGCTAACCATGTAGAAGGTCCAGTAGTGAGCCAAAGGAGCGTTACTATATACCACACAGGAATATTTTCTAAATCATTCAAGTGTGCTCTACGTACACGTTCAACATCTGGATCATTGTAAACAACTTTTGAATTTTTTAACCATTTTGCATCTTCTTCGGTCATAAATACCTGTAATAAATATATAGAAATTAGTATTTTCGTTATTTATGGATAAAATATAAAAAGCAGAATTATCTGTTTTAAGATACCTTTTTTGCATATCTTTGTCGTGCCGTTAATGGTACCATTGCCAGTAACTTTAAAGCAAGTATACTACCCCAAAAACAATAGATTTTTAAAATTTCGGGGTTTATAATAGGCGTAGTGTAAGTAGTCATTGTGTATTTTCAATTTTAAACTTGTTTGGTATAAATTCGACGAATCACTTGTTTCACTATGTCACCAACCTCTTACAACACTTCGAATCTTAAGGAAAAATGTGTCTTTCGATGTTTCTTCAGTTCTTATATACACATGGATGGGTATTAAAAATGCAATAAAAAAATATTACATAAAATTGAGTATCATTGGAAGTCAAGATAATGTGATTTAATGAGAATATGGTGGATTCATAAATTATGCATTTCTATCCTGCTTTGTTATCCGTGTAATTATAAACTCCTGGATGGATGCATATATAAAGTAATATATGCACTTCATTAATTATTTTCATTAAATACTATCATGCAGAAAGCATTTACATGTCCTATATGTTTGTCCAGTATCATCCAATAAGAATATATTACATTCATGTATATTTTTACTGATTGGTTGTTGCTCCTGTAGCTGTACAAAAATGCATTCAATGAATGCTATTCTTTAATAAGAAACAAAGTAACTAGCATACACAGTCCACGTATCACGTGATTGAGAATATACTTGCCAATGAAGAAACAGGAAGTCTAGATATTTATTGAATCGAACTTTAAATTCTTCTAAATTTTATACGTTTAATTAAAACAGTTTAAGAAGCGTATCATTACAATTATTCAATTGTAATAATTAATTCGTTCTAACTTCATTTTAACCTCCAAAATAGTCAAGGTGCAGGCGAAAGCTAGGGAATATTGTGTTACGCATGCGTAGAAGGCAACGCTGACGCAGAAGGTACGTCAGCTGTTTTGCTAGAGATGCGTGCATTGGGAATGGTGTATTGTTGACTGCAGAGCAGTTCGCAGTTTGTAGGTCTGATCATATTTTCTTTGTTTATTTGGTGTGCAGAATCGTATTATCGTCATAGAAAACGTTCTGCCGCGAGTGAAAGATCACGAAGCGTTGAGGTATAGCTAAGGAAATCGTGATAGAGGCCTGAAATTGTCCGAAAACCCGTTGGCAATTGATCCTTCCGAGAAGAAGCAGTGTTCACAAAGGCGTCCGTCCGACTGTAGTGTTCTGTGCTACCACTTCAGGAGGTTTGGGACGTTCTGTACTCTGGAACGGACTTTAACTCCAATTCCAGAAGAAAATTATGGCACAAACAACGAGTAGCGCTCTTAGGGCACTTGCTCTGGAATATAAAAGTCTTCAAGAGGAACCCGTTGAAGGATTCCGCGTGAAACTCGTTAACGAGGACAACATGTTTGAGTGGGAAGTGGCTATCTTCGGGCCTCCAGATACGCTTTACCAAGGAGGATATTTCAAGGTAATTGCTACAATTATTTTCAACAATTAATCATACCGAAAAATTCATCGAGTAAAAATGAAAATTCGTTTGACTCTCGATTTCTTTTTCTTGCATTAACACTTTTCATTTTGTTGGTTATGTTTCTAACTTTCTCTTTCAACGGATGCAATGTTTGACGAATATATTTACATTTTTCGTTGAAAGATACTGCTACTGTTCAAATATTTTCAAACACGGTTGCAAATATTATACTGATAGTGTATATCTTTTTTATTAATCGCGCCCGACACTTACTTTGTTTTTCCGTAACAACAGTTAGATTAAATATAATTGCTATGCGTTAATTTGAATTGAGAAATGACAAGCCAATTTTATATTAAAAAATTCTACCATTACGTCTATTTGTGTCTAAATAATCTGGACAGTACACGTATGCGCGTTTCTACTTAAAAACAAATACGACGATGACACGCAAAGCATTACGATTACCTTAACCAAAAACATATCGGGACTAATGTTCATTTTTATTCTTGTCGATCGGTGAATTTCACCGATTTATTATAGGAAAGTTTATTTGATCGGCTTTGCATACTGTTACGATTCGACGAGTTCTGTTTACACGTAACACAAAACAACCAACGACTACCAAGCAGTATTGAGTAATCTTGAAAACTAAAGATTACTCAGCGTAGGCGAATCGATTGCGTTCTACGATTGATTCATTCTCATCGCACTTCGCTCGTATCGATAATTCATCTTCGATATCCTGACACACATTGTAAATTTATTCTCAAGACAAATTCCCTAGTTTTTTTTCCTGTCAGTCGTTACAGCAAGTATTCACGTAGAAAATGAATTCTGCCGTTGCAGCAGTTATATACACTTTTTTTTCGCGTAGGTTTGCGTCCGCTTTCTAAACCACTCACTGGCTCGTTATAAATTTACGAATGCTTATTCACGTAACGCTAGTGTATGTATCTTCCCACAGTGTAACTGGTCACGACTCACACAAACGTGTGTCGAGAACAACACCGTTATTTGCGAATCGGTATCATTTCGTACACGCGAGTCGCGTGTACGTAAGTCTATTCTTACGAGATTCATAATCGTAAATTACAAGGAGGAGTTGAGATCTGAGTTTTACCTCAAGTTGTCAAGGAAAATAAGTACAAACTTTTTTAATAAAAATAATTTAATAGATCTTATAATATTTATCTACATTATAAAACATAGGAGATATTTTAATAGTTACAAGAATTGAGCGGCGAAGGGCGGGAATTTCAAAACTAAGGATCGCCAGATCGAATCCCCGCAAGGGCATATTTTTTTTTTTTTAATTTTAATTTTATACAAGCGTGTTGTATTTGCAAAAATATATATTCCTCTAAATTTTTTGTTAAGTATATTAAAGAAAAAGTCACGTGGATCAGCCTGTAGTGGCAAGCACGTGTTCCCTAAAACTAGGTCTTAAAGTTCTAAATGGTTAAGCAGCCGCTTCTCGTTCCTTTGGGATTTACAATCGACCCAGATGAAGTCGAAGAAACGATCAAACGTTTGGCAAGTTACACGAAACGCTTTCGTGCATTGTCTCGGATCTATCTTTGGACGGCATCCCTTGAATCACCTGAACGACTTTCACCCAATCCCATTCTGCTTCGGATGAACGGCGTATTTTTCCTCGCGGGGAAAAGCGCCCGTCGCAAAAGAGGTCAGACACGGTGAACTCGCTTCAACGGCAAAATGGGTCTCCATCGTTGTTTGTTCGTGTCATTTTCTACTATCGAGACACCTACCTCCTTATCCTTCTGCCTGATTTTGGCCCGCTCAATCCTTTCACCTCTCTCGCAACAACGACTATAAAGCTCGATTTACACTATTGGCACGCTCAAGCTATAAAGAAAATTTCAAACTCGTGTAAGCATTCACATTGATAGTTGCGCTCTATTCAGGCTCTATTTCTGGAACATCTAATAGTACGATTTACCGTAGCCTTTGTAAACGTTGAACGATGAGTAACGCAGCAGTTTTCTTAGGAATGACGGAAAAACTTCAGATCGTTACATTTTTCCTTTCCCGATTGTTATCGAGCTGCTGACTGTTCTTTGATATCGTTCTCCTTCCACTTTAATGTAATCCTTCTTCAATCCTAAAGTGATCTTGCTTCTTTTCCGTTAAACAACGAGCTCTGCAATCAAGCAGGGATTTCGATGCTCTGCCATCTGTTTGCCTCGTGTTTTCTTCTTTCAGACCGTAAACACGTACCGTGCGTGTCTGATAACGCAAACATATCCTCGGCGCATGTAGTCGACTATCATTATCGTCAGAATATTTATTGGCCCATTTGCGGCCTCCAACTCATCGACTTCAGCTATCGTTGCGATCCAAGGAACTACTTATTGTTAGATATTTTAATTCGCTGGACCTTGAATAGTTTTATTTATTTAATAAGACCTTCCTTGTGATCTTTTACTTTCCGTTTGCACTGAGTACAGAACGAATCCATTTTCACAGGAATGTATGCAAGGATTGTCCCAACGTTGCTGGCAGACTTTCGTCGATGCTTCACCGACGGGACGCTATATTGATCGCAACCTGGTCATGGCCCAAATATCCAAGCCCGTCCTCCGGGATAGCGCGTCCTAGAATTAACTTACTTTCCATCCGTGCCTCTGTTTATGTTTCCCCGGTAGAATTACATCTAAACTGTGGTGAATTGCACCCACCGAAATTAATTTACTGGCACGATGAACTTTCCCGTCGGTCATGTTGGGATCTCCCAGAAACAACCAATTTATACTGAAAGATAACGCAATCGCAGGGGTTGTTTTCATTCTTTCAGAATAAAAAAGATAATAGGGCGTGAAATGGCACATCTGGAGAAAATCGTCTTTTTTTTTTTTAACACTCTATATATCGACCCTTTTGATACGCAAAACGAATCGAATTTCATCGACTCCTATGTTGTTCGATGTTTTTCCGGGTAAGTTCACTTGCCTGCACTAGCGACTGATTTTTTCAACCCTGAACGACAACGCGTGTATCGTTCAATTTTCTCGGACGCGTGTTGAACAATTCGTAAATGACTCGTACATAATTCCCGGAACAAACGGTGCTGGTCACCCTTTGATAATTTGCATAACTGATTATCGATCGACTCGTGGTTGCCAGTCAACCGTTTTTCAACGCGAGTGTCCGTTCATTCTTCTTTCTTTTTTTTCTCCTTTTGTTTTCTGTTACAGGCACACATGAAGTTCCCGCCAGATTATCCATACAGTCCGCCAAGCATTCGGTTTATGACGAAAGTTTGGCATCCGAACGTGTACGAGGTAGGTAAATACGAGAATTATCGATCCTCCCTCCTGTATACACCTCTTTTCATCCCTCTTCGTTACGTCTCTTCGCGTGTTTTTTTTTCCCTCGTCCCTTTTCAGCCTCTGCGGCTGTCGTTCAATCCTCCACCCTTCGTCCCTCCTCCGTCACTCTCTCTTTTCGCCGTGTCTCCCTTTCGCTTTCTACGATTTTCTCTTTGTCTTTCAACCCTCTGCTACAGCGTTCGCATCGTTATCCGCAGGACTCGACGCGACGCTCTCGTTTTTTCTTTTCTATTCTTTTTTCTTTTTTTTGGCACACAAGCAATTTCAAGCTTCCGGGAATATTCATCTTTGCGCTGTTTAATTAATTTCTTTGGAATTATTAATTTTCAGCTTGCAATTAGTATGTCTTCTAATAGATGGAAACGAGGTAAAGAAGTTAAGTGGCTAAATTAAAAGAGTTCAGCGTGGGTTGTGTACGAACCCGTCTTCTAAGCATCTTATTATTCACCACTTCTTAAAGCATCTCTCGCGTGCTCTTCGTGTGACCCTTCAGAGACTAGCAAAGAGTCAATGACCGTCGAAAGGCTCCTTGGACATCCGTGTCCAGTCACTTGTTGGAAGGGATCAGACAGGCGAACACGCTATGGCTAACGGGAATAAACGCGCGTAAATTTCATGCGTCGGGCTGTTACATTAATTATACATCCCCGATGGGTGCAGCGAACATGATCATTTACCAGAGTTCGTGGTATTGGCAATCTGGGAAAGATGAATTTCGTTTTCGTTCCTTGAAACGAGTTAAAAAAACCTTCTTGATTTTCTGTAATAGTATTAAATCATTTTAATCAAATCTTCAGCCTCAAATTGATATATATTGTACAATAATCGTGTCAGACTTTATATTTGTTTCGAGTAACTGTTTTCACTTGAATTCTTGATTGAACGTGGAAAAAAATGGTAACCCATCGTTAACACGAATTCAGCCAACTTTTCCTAACGAAAGTTCCGTTTCATTATATCGTGCGAATATATCAATGCTCGACCGCTGTGTTCGCTAAGCTATTTTCCGTGCAATGAATACTTTTCATACGCGAAGACTTCCCGTGCTCGCACCGAGGCCAATGCACTTCCGTCTAATACCATCGTTGCAGGTCCGTTGTATTTTATTTTTTCTCATGGAAAAATTAATTTTCCTTTATGCAGGTTTATCGGAAAATCGTTGTGATTTAATTTGATTGAAATTAAATTAAATTACAGCGTTTAGTTCCAATTTATTGATCCATCAAGTCTACGGAAATTGTAGACTAACTAAGCTGGCTGTGGTTACGTACATTTCGAGGGGCGCTTCAGGTAATTCGATTTTAATCTAGCGAATTCTACGTAATCATGGCGTGTTCAATGACAACCAAATGACTTCATGCGAAAAGTCTTTTGTCCGGAATCGTCTGGCCACGTGAGTCACGTGCGTGAGAGATTTCTTGCACCACGGGGGATCTTACGACGTGGCTGTAAACACGAGACACGGCCAGACAATAATAGCTCTCTCTTTCTGCTCGAATTTTTCACTCCTCCGGCAACGAGAGCAAAACGCTATTGTTCCCTTAGAGCTGTTCGTCGAATGACGAGTTACAGCTCTTCGCTGTTGAAATCTGGATAATAGATTCTCGGAGGAACAAAAAGGAGAAGAGACAATTTTCTATTTGCCCGTAAAGATAATGGGTGGAAGATAACGAAAGAGGTCAGCTAGCTATTCTTTATATTCTGAACAGTGAAGTATACACGACGCACCGTGTGCGTCCTACGAATACTAAACGTATCGTTTAAAACTAAAATTGTTCGGTAGTTGTGACACGCAGTGTATAAGATCGTAGGTACGATGTCCAGCGGTGGGACGAGCAAAAAGGTGGAATCGTTACAAAATCTGTAGGCTTCGTTGCACTCGCGAAGAGGTCGTCGCCTCAAGATTCGACGAACCGTGAAACGTTTGACCGGCGGTACGTGTGTCGACACACACAGACACCCGATCTATGTGCAACTCGTGCGCTCCCGAGTCTGCGTTTATGCACCATACCCATTGGCTGTGTGCAAAGGTGCGTCTCAGGTGTGGTGGCTCGTGTATTGCCACGAGTTTACGAACGACTCGGCTCTGTAAGGTGGAAACGCTCTCGTGTAAGGTCGCTCTCAGGACCTCGATCAACCCTCGAGTACCAGGGTAGGGTCAGACGCGTTTTACGGAAAAAAAAAAAAAACACAAATTGATATTACCAGCCGGTATTCAAAATGCAATTAAAAAAGCTACGTTCAAAACAACGCGTGATCATTAAAATTGATATTTCTTTGAAGTCGACGTAAAATGTTAGTATTTTACATCGGTGTAAATAGGTAGGAAAATAATCCCGGCCCCTGGTGAGATAGTCTTATAATAAGAACCTGGTCTGGAATGGATTAACGGGACAAGATCTCAGGTAGCTGCACGAGAACCGACCAAGACAACACAGTATATTTTACTACAGAAACGAACAGAAAATTCGCTTCTATTTGATATTCTACTGTCTTTGAAAATATAGTCACGCCACGGATAAATATTCGTGGAAGTCGTTTAATTCGGGACGTTCGTGATTTTATATCTTTTTCGAAAAGCTTTCGAGAATATACGAGCATCTCGAATTCACCCGTCGACGTATGTAGTTCGAAGAAAAATGAATTTTCACGGTGAAAATAATTGGACGTTTCGTGGCTGGGCATTTCGAAAATGACACGCACGCCTACACATTCCGCGAAGATATTTAGAAACGTTGATCGTCTGTAAAGCTTCCTGTTCGAATCAGTAAGGAGAGTTTCTCTTCGAGAGAGAACGTGGACCAAGTTTCGCTGTGATTCATCGTCGCATTGAAACCGTGAAAATGGTTCAATCACCTCGTGTCGAATTTAATTCGATGATTGATCATTTTATACGATCTTTAACTTTCTTTTCAAAGCATCAAAAATATATCCTTTCTTCTTTACTGAAAATGTGTTTATTGTTTCCAGTAATAAGGAGGATTTGGCAACGCTCGCGATGCATGGTGACCTAATTAAAGACCGTACACTTCTGTGCAAATTTACGAGGTTCCAAAGGAGCCACGTGTCCCGTTTGTGTTATAATTTTCGTGATAGTTCTCATCGAAGAAATCTATTTTCGAGGCTGACCAATGCGAGATTCCCTCTCCTTCTTCGAGAAGGTGTGCTCTTTTTAACCCCTTCATTATTAGAAATTATAATTGCAAATAATAGAAAAATCATTAATTGTTAAAATAAAAACAAGAGTACCCCATTTTTATAATTATTTAAAATATTCCTCAGGCATGCAAGTGGTAGCATGCAATTACGAGTTTTTCAAGCTCGACAAGTAAATTCAGTCGATGCAGGAAGTCGTCGTTTATTATATTTAAATTTGCGTCGTATAATTAACATATATAAGTAGGTATTTTTGGGCATCAAAGTCGAGATTTATTTTTGTTTCCTGCATCGCAGAACCGCGTGTAGAACAGTATAGTACAGAAACAGTATAGTATACTAAAACACAAAAATGCATTGTGCATCGTGCCATGATCTAAGCAAAAAATTGCAAGACCTGTTGCACGTCATTGGAAATCAGATACATTTGTTGTAATGTGTATTTCATTCTTATAATAATAGCCAAAGTCCCATTCTTTGGGATTTTTCGTGTTAAGTACCATCTCGAAGCACTAAAAATTTTCTTACTACTTACATTATTTTCTTCATTTCTGTATTTTTCTGCTCGCTATAGAATAGTGTCATAAATTTTCGAAAATCGCAGTAGGCTAAGGAACCAGGAGAACGTGTTCTCTTCTATGCTGGCCATTAGCCAACGGCATTGCGGTATGCTACGGCTTTGTGTCCACGTCGGATCTTACCACACAAGTGTACAGGGTGTCTAATTTTAATTTGTACATGCAGTTATCATTTCTTTTCAAATTTCATGATTTGCTGCGCCCACTTGACTCACCGTCAGAAGTAGAATGTATATATTGACGTTTTAAGTTTCTTTTATTATGGAGAATTTGCAGTACATCTTTTTTGAGGCAACCTGTAGTCGGTTTTATCCTGGGCTTGCTCGACCTCTCTTCATGGACAGGGAAAAGAAGCACGAAGAGGTTTTCAACGAGTAGCGTGTCGCGTGTTCTCTTCAAAGCGAATACTTTATACACCGATACGTGTCTCGAGCTCCAAATATGGTGTGTTATAAGGAGAATTTTCAGATTCACGAAAGACACCGAGATACGTTTCGTCCTTCGTAGCTCGTTTCCACGACGGGCAATGTGCCTTCAGGGACGATTAACGCGGAACTTACCGACTCCCTTCCACCATCTCGGGTCAAACGAGTCTCTTTTCTTAGCCAAAGTTGGTCGTTGCCCTTGACTGAACGTTTGAACGCTTTGATGATCGCGCGTTTACAGAGATTTACGATCCTATCCACTTTACTTTTCCTTTTTTTTTTTTTTTTTTTTCTTTACATATAAAATAAATATTTAAAGCCTGTAATAAAAATTTCTTCATTGTTGCATACGCAGAATGGAGACCTGTGCATATCGATCCTGCATCCACCCGTAGACGATCCACAAAGTGGAGAACTACCGTGTGAGAGGTGGAATCCAACACAGAATGTCAGGTGAGAGGAAACGAAGGGAAAAAGGCGATGGTGTAAAAAGCTACACGGACATCCTCGAGTGTATTAAATAATATTTATACCCGTTCGAGTCTGACCACCTTATTATCAGATCCTTCTGAGCTTTATGCCGTGCAAAAACGTTAAACGAGTTCTGGTTTTGGAACAGGACGATCCTCCTGTCGGTGATTTCGCTTCTGAACGAGCCCAACACGTACAGCCCCGCCAACGTGGACGCCTCTGTGATGTACAGGCGCTGGCGCGACTCCAAGGGAAAAGATAAAGAATATGAAAATATCATAAGGTATAATAACATTCATTTATTCCCGAATTTTATGCCCGTAATATTATAAACACAGGAAATCATATGTGTAAATGGAAATCAAGGATTGTGGAAGACTTTCAATTTGAAATTTAGTTAAATAATTGGCTTTATAATTAAATCTTCACTTTGATAACTATTTGTATTCTCAAATGGAAATTTTGATGACCTGTTAATATTATTAATAACCCTTATTAATAGCGTTAAGAGGTTTAAAATTAAAGTTAAAAAAAAAAAAAGAGAATATTGTCCACGTCGTTGTAGGAAACAAGCGCAGGCGGCTAAAATGGAAGCTGAAAAAGAAGGTATCGTGGTGCCTGTAACGTTGGAAGATTACTGCATCAAAACTCATGCGAGGCCGGCCGAGCAACAATTAGATATGACGGATTTCTACGACGACGAGTACGAGCTGGACGACGACGACGACGACGAGCAAATGAGCGCCAGCGATTACGAAGACGGTGACGATAGTGGCAACGGAGAGTCGTGATCCATTTCCTAAGGGACGACAAAAAATAAACTCGAAGAAGAAAAAAAAAACGCTAATTATTATCAGTTCTGTATAGATTAATAAATTAACGGGCTTCTAAACCGGACGCTCTCTCCTTTCAGACGTGCCACCTAAATTCAAGTACACGTTCGAAGAACTTTCAATCATTGTTAGAGTATTTTTCTTTATAAGTAGAATCGCAAATACATGACACCTGTCTTGTGAATGTAATTTTATTTGTTACAGGTGTCTTTAGATAATATCAATTAAAAATTCCTTGATTCAACATTGTCCTGTGGAAATTCTATTTGAATAGTTAGAATTAAGTTCTTAGAATCATGCAAATTGGGAAGAAAAGATCAGAATTTTATGTGCAAAGTAATTTTCTTTAGAGGATATTAAAATTGTTGAGAATGCCGTGTTTATAAGCTCTTTAACTTAAGCAATATACGGTATGAACATAAGTACTTTGTTAGGAGCACTGTGCTTGTTGTGTTGTGGTTGGCACGTCGGTCTTTTTAACTAGGCAAAAAAAAAGAAAAAAAAAAACAAAGGATAAAAGGACCAATTGATTTACCTGAAACGGTGATTCAGCGTTCGATTGAATTTCTAATGAAAGTACAATGATTGGGCTGGCTCAAATCTCCTTTTATCCGTGCGTCGTATTTAAAGTTTATATCTAGTGGGTACATCAATTGATCCTTGCATTTTTGAATCTTCGATAAAACTTACATGAAATAATAAAATGAGAAATTTCGACGTTTCGTGTGATTATTTAATGCTGTAAAGCCAAACGTTGGGAAAAAGGAATTCGATTTGTGTAAGCGAGAAGTAAAACAAACTGCCATAAAAGACCTGTTCAACATTCTTCGACGTATATTTTTATTTTAAAGAGTTTGTAAATCTCTTAATATCCTTCTTTCTTTATATTTTGCTATTCAAAACTACTACTTGATGATTGCGTTCATCAATTTTTTTTTTGTATACATATGAATTTACATAGGTTTAAGTATTATCATAGAATCTTATATTATAATTTTTCTTTGCAAAACATTTTGTTTTGTGGCGGGTATTTTAAAGCAGGTCTTTGGACAGTTTGTTTTTGTTCGTGGTTTTTAAACGTACCTATAAAAATATAGTTTTTGCTATGAACGACACTATTTTTAAGTTTCGATTGTTTGTCATTATAACATTACTAAATCTTTTGAAAGAAAAAAGAAAAAAAAAGATGTACTGAAATACGTTTACGGACTTCTCTTACGTGCATTGCGCTACATCCCACAAAGTTAGTTCAGCTTAAAACAATTATTAAGATCTCTTGATGTTAAGTATTATCTTTCACACGGGGACAAAAAAAGCTTGGTAGGTGAAGTTGATTAAGAAATAAACTTATTACTTAAGTGAAAGGAATACCAGATACGGCTAACATACTCTGTGGTAGTGTATCTGTGCTCGTATGACTGAAATTGTAAATAGTACACGAAATCCAATTCTTAAAGACATAAAAATGTATAAATGGTATCTTCTATCTTCGTTCTTTATTAGCCATTTTATTAAAAGACCAAAATTAAGTGTTGAAACAAACAAACAGAAAAAAAACACAACAGAATGTTAAATGGTAAAAAATAAAAGCAAAGAATATTTAAATTTCAATATTGTCTAAGGGAAAACATACTCAGCGCTTGTAGTGGTATAGCAAAAAGTAAATATTCCCTAGTTCCTTAATATACTTTGTACAACCTTTAATTTTTTTTGCATTTCATGTTCTCCCTAGCTACTTAAATAATAGACGAAAAACTGTGTAAGACACCCGAGGTGACGCTAATAATTTGTATATCATATCATTCTTTTTCTCCTTTTTTTGTACATACCAATAAAAAATCTCTTCGTACAATTATTAATAAAACTAGCGCAACAACATTAAGTGCTTTGTTCATAGCTTAAGATAGATGTACGATTAAAGTAGATACGCTTCGATTCTTGGGTAAGTGAACATAGTTTTATTCGAAGATCGTTGATTCAATAACAAGAATAGTTTTCAAGTTCATTCGTATTCACATAAATATATATATATATATATATAAAAAGACGGTGAAAATACACACGCGATCAGCTTACGTATTCTGTACATACAGTTTCTTTTCTAGGAATCCCTACTAGTATGTGATTTTTCGGCGTACACGTGTTCGGTACGAATTTCGAAAGATACACTTTGTAGCCAAATTGTTCAGCTTCTAGCTTTCTGTCGGTATCAATAATCGCCATGCATTCGTAGCCTTGTTTGGTCTTAACGTTCTGTTCGTCATGCGTTTGATCAGCAGCATGACTAAGAACAATGTATTTCTCCGGTTCCATTTGTTTCTTGAAAACGTTACTCCTTGGATAAGTTAAATGGTGACAATCGTGAAGCGATCCATAGCAACAAGGGCAGCAGACGAAAATAGCCTTTAATCTGATGCATTGTTGTATAACTAAATCAGTTGCTACTCCGCACGCGTGTAATGACATACCAATGTCAAAGTGCCCTTTAAAGTAATCTAAATTGCATTGGTAAATTTTAACGTTTGTTAACCTGAGTTTCTTCACTCTTTCTTTGGCTCTGTTTAATGATTGTTCTTTGTTCTCTAACAATATGACGGTGCAATAGGGCAACAGATACGCGACTAGGATACCCAAGTGACCGCTACCAGAACAAAAGTCCACAATAATGTTTCCCGCTTTAGCCAATTTCATCACAGGCTTACACATGTTTTCTAGTTGTTCTTGTTTCTTTTTTAAACGAGTTAACGGTAGAGAACCGCCTTCTGGTGTAGCGTCATACGGTATCGAGGACCAGTCTAGATTCAATTCTGCACCAAATGGTTCTAGGTCGAGATTGGTTTGTATGTTTAACGCTTTGAACAATTCCAATGAATCTTCGATGTCTTCTTGTCTCGTATAAATGCGACTTCTTGGTTTGTATCTCTTTGGATCGCTTTTATACAAACTCTGGTTTGCCACTTGAGGAAGAGTGTAATGGAATTCGGTTATGCTTTGACTCTTTAACAGTGGCAGTAACTTAAGGCATTCAACTATAATGTGATCTTCGATCATCTTTTTGTACCATTTGGCTGTAAGTGGAAGCAAATTCATTGTTGTCTCACTCGAGAATACAGTTAATAAAATATGTGTACAAACAAATATAATTATATCTGCTAATGTTATATGCGAGCCCTCCGCGTACGTATGTTCCAGTAAACGCAATCCCTCTGGCAAAATTAAACTTTCGTCAGAACATTTTTTGGACATAGTATATTTGTACAGATTATGCAGTCTAACTGGTTGCGACATGTGGCGTTCAAACCTTGCCATGCTGATAGGTAATTCACTCTCTATTTCGCTGTCCGCGTGTAGAAACTTCACCGTTAGAATTAAATCTACCTCGCAAAATTTCGTCCAAACGCTTGTTTCCGAACAAGCAGTTAAACACGATTCCTTGAATCCTAATAATTTCCGGCAAGAATGCTTCGGATGTTCTGCCGTGACTTCTTTAACGATTTGCCGTAAAATCGCACAAAGTCCTGCAACACAGCTAGTTTTATTTACAATAATAATTGGTAATTCGCACGAACTTGCATGATATGGGATTTTATGTGCATCCATAACCTCGTATACAAAATTTGATATATCTATCGCATATGCTCGTTCAAGAGGCTTTTTTTTACTTAGTATAAGTTTAATGTTGATCTTAGATTTGCAATACTTAACAGTGAACAGTGTTACTATTGTTTCTATCGGTGCTAAACACAACTCTGCCAAGGAATATACTTCCAAATAAGCTTCATCCATCTTTATCAGCTGCCTAAGAAATCATATAGGTGTTGATAAAACAAATAAAAATATTAATTACTTGAGGCTAGCTATACGCTAACCCTTAGTTGTTTGGCTACTTTTCTTATTATCCTTTGTCTCAGAATATTTTCTCTCCAATAGACACTGATACAAGAGGTGAATGCCAAAAGGAACATGAGTGTTTCAAACTTCCAAAATTCTCTTTCTTCTAACCAAGCTACCCTGTCACAACTAAAATACATGTGTTATTCAAGTAACATGGTCACCATTGCTTATTATGAAGTTCCTATTAACTAAAAAATTACCTTCTTGTTATAGTCTCACCACTTTTACATTTTAATACTTCTTTGTATCTTGCATGAACACATACATCAATGCTTTTACTAGCTATTTCAAAAGCAGTACATGGATGGCATTCTGAAAGTACTTCATATTCCTCTCCAGAGATACATGTTGCATTGTTTTCAAAATTTTCCAAATATAGTTTACTTGGACTATCTGTCCAATGACTTTCAACAATTAATACTAATACTGTTAATCTGTAATGAAAAGATACATTTTATGATGTTATTGTTGTTTGCAATTTCAATATATAAGCTATATAAATTGTAATGTAGGACGAAACTAACCCTCCTAATAATGTAATGCCAGTTAACATTCGCTTTTTTGTGCACGACTCAATCATTTCGATGTACACTGTTTCACCAAATTCCAGCTTCCCTGTTAAGTTACGTGATCCATGTGAAAAATTAACAGAATTTTCTCAAACACACTTGCAGTGACTATACATAGTAGAAGACTGGACATGCCTTTGTTTTCGAGGGATCATGATTTAGGGGGTCCCAGACACCCCCAGATGAGATTGGACCTATTAAACCCGATTTGGCTCAGATTTTGCAAATAGCTTCATTTTGCATAAAAACAATATTTGCGAGAAGGATTTTTTGCGACTCAAAGACTAAGACTCAAAATTTTGCGAAAAATGTTTTACCATGTTAGTGTAATTTTCTGCATTACTGACACCGCGTAGAATAAGATTACAACAGTATTCTGTATACGTTCTTCATTAGTTTTCATTATATAAGTACATATTTAATGTCTTTCAATAATTGATAAAATGGATCTCCTCCGCTTTTCTTTTCTTTCGTCCTCAAGAGAGCTCGGCATTCCCGTTCCCGGTATTGACACTGTATCGGTAAAGGAGAGAATGACATTACCGTTGGAATATTACAACAGCACTTCAAATATTTTCGGTACTGTTGCACATTTTGATTGTTCAACAAATGGGCGGGGGAGAGGCTCAGCCCTTCCCCTGCAACCCCGTCCCGTAAAATATACCATAACCCAACCTATTTTGTTTTTGAGGAACTCAAATGTAGGAAATAATATTAAAATAATACAAAAATTTTTTTCAAGTTGCCAAAAATCCTTCTCACAAACTTTATTTTACGCAAAATGAAGCTATTTGCAAAATTTCAGCCAAATAGGATTTGACAGGTCTTCGGAAAGACAGCCTTATTTAATTCACCCAATGTCATCCAGCATCCAACAATCGTTTGATCTTTAATAAATTAAAAGCATAATATACATAGTTAGCGCTAGTGTTCCTCTGTTGTGGAAAATCGATTGGTAAGTTGTTGAGTAATTTGAGCCATTTTCGAATAGATGGCGCCATGGCCGAATTTTGGATTACTTGTTAGGAAGGATTTGATTTTATTATTAAAAATTATAATTAACGTTTACACCCTATCAATAATATAACAAGTGACTACTATTTATATTTAAATTAAGTAAGAGAATGGTTATTGTATGGACTTGGATATAATCTCATTTCAATGATACATTTCAGCTTATAAAGTCATTTGTTTCTCATCTTATAAATTTTGTTATGGACAATATACGAAATTTATTTCAACAATTCTGAACAATCATTTTTGTAAATATAAAATGAAAAGAGAATGCATAATGTTTTATTTTCAAATCTTTTTTATCTATTATATTAAAAGTAAGGTGGGATCAGTGGAATAACCGTAGTGCAGTTTTTAGTACAGTCCTTTTAATTTAGAAATTCTTGAAAGGAGACACTGATATGAATAATATAATCATGTACGTATATACAATAAAGGGAATTTTCCATTGGTATTTGTGTTTAAATCGTATTATTGCGTGTCTAACGCTATCGCGGGATTGAAATCGATGTAGACTGTTCTATCAGGTTTTCCCACTAAACGAGAATAAATTAATCTGTACATCGGTAAGATTCCCAAGATATCGAACATTTCAATAAACCATTAATCTTTAAAAAACTTCTTTCTTAACAATTATATGAAACGATTCGCAATAATCAAAATGCTGTTAGAATTAGATTTTATGCACGTTCGATACCTTCCAAAATACGATTTCCATAAAATTTGGCGCAAAGGAGTAATCGAATCGATCGTCTCGATAGGCCGAGATTCCGAATAAAATATCTCACGTATCTTCAATACTTTGTATACCTTATTTATTTTCTTTTTTATCTTCGTATAATAATCATAAACGTACAATTTTTAAAACAATAGTGCTCGTGAATGAGTGTGTATCGTGTGTATCGTGTGTATGCAATGTACAGGATAATCTTCTTTTTTTAAGCTATGATACAATTCGAAATGAAATACAAATCAATGAACTATTACGTTAGGGTAAATCTCTCATTCGTTCCTTGTTTTTTTTTTTTTTCTTTAAATACAATTATTTTCACTACTGAATGACAATGTCCTTTTATTTTCTCGGCAAATATGATACCTCCCTTTGTTTTTTGATCATGTGACGCGGATGCGCTCGCGCGCGCGTGTACAAGAGCCTCGAACTTCTATCTACAAGTTATCTTTACGATTTTTGTTCTTTTCGTTAGTCCATTTTGTTTCTCGACGCTTCTGTAAAATATTAAGGTTTACGATATGATTTTCCCCCATTTCGGTGGTCCTTCATTGACCCCACGGTTTACGATCGTCCGCAATGGAACCGTCTTCCTCTATATTACAAATTCCTTCGCCCGAAACCGGGTACTCGCCTAAGAAATTTATCGTTTTACCGCTTAAATAATTAAAGCTATCTGCTATCTATAAGAGTCTATTCGGTATCTACAAGAAGAAGAACCTATATGCCTCGCGCTTCGTTTGAGAAAAAGAAAGAAAAAGACACATAAGGTGGAGGGGGATGGGGAAATGGGGGGAGGGAATAGCGAAGAACAAAAGAACCACGTGTACCAGTTAGACGTGTGCGAGATTTCGAACTGCCGCCGAGACTTTTGGCAAGATCGGTTGAGATTACTCGAAATCCCGACTCTTCGGCACAAGGGTACAGATTCACTGCGAATTGTTTCGACAATAATCGGGCTCGATTATTACCGAGTCGATTCGAAGTCGAACTGCGCCCTTATTCCGAAAATTCGAATCCTGATCTTCCAATCTTATCCGATTTCGCCCAAAGCTCTTCCGCACACCTCTAATACCAATCGTTCACCAAAAAATGATCGAATTACATTGTTTACGCAGCTGCACGGTTCGGTGACGATCGGTTTGGTGGACTTATTTTTCGTAACTCAACGAGATTGACTTATATTTTCAATGTTTCATCGATTTGGTATTTATTGTTTGGTCGATGTCATTAAGTTACGATTGAACGATGGACGATGAAATTAACTAATAGTAATAATATTAATAGCAGTATTCGATAATAATTATAATTATAACGTTAATAATAATAATGATAATAATAATGTGGGTGACGGTAATAATAAGAATCAGTGTTAAAGAATGATAATATTAGCGCTGGTATACAATTTCCCACTAGTCCCCCGTCGGTTACGGAAAAGTGTGAATTGAGAAAAGAAAAGAAAGAAATAAAGGAAAAAAAAAATGTCGGATCACTGGTCTCTCAATTAGCAATGCCCTTTTTTGTTAAGTGCTTTTCTCACTGGTTTGCTGTTTCTCACTCATCCCTCCCCCACTCAATCGCACACACGCACGCACATACATAAATGTACACATTTTTTTTTAAATTTCTCTTCCGTTCGTTTAAATTGCGGACTAGAATTTAATCGAAGATTAAAATTTAATCTGGTAAATACAAGTTTGATTCGTAGTATCGAGGATAATTTTTGACCCCTTTTTCGTTTCACTCTCTCGCAAGCATGCACAATCATTCTCCTTGCTTTCTCTCCCCTTTTTCAGGCAGGCATCGATAGTGTGTACGGGTAATTCGCGTAATTATGTTCTCCTGTCGCGCCGTGCGCACCAACCTTAACGCCGCGTCTCAACCCCCACGTGCACTAACCCCACGTGTTCGTCATCGCACGTAGGATCACCCTTCATTGACCATCGATCTGTTGTCCTTTGATTGCCATTGGAAACTCGGCGTTAGGTCTCGTTAATGTGTCTCTTATGTGTCTCTGTGTTTTGTGGATATACTGCTATTAGAGAGTTAAGTGTGGTAATTAAGTATAATATACAAGATCGTGTACGTGTAACGTACTCGCATGTACTGAGTCTCTTCTCTTCCCTTTTCTTCTCTTTTCTTTTTTTTTGTTTCTTCTTTTGTACAGTTATTTACATTGTGGATGCGAGCTCACGGTGCCACGCTTTACACCCGGTTTAAAGATGCCGGCGCATCTTTTTTTTTGTCTCACAGAAGGAGGCCTCCGACCCCCTGGCACATCGCGTATAAGCTCTATCACATTGGCTTTACAAGCCGTGTCGTTATCGCGATAAGAATCTGATTGGTAATAAAATAATACAATATAATCAATAATAATAATAATAATAATAATAAAATAGCAGTGATAACGTAAGCCTAATAATACGGTAATATTGATAGTAACTAATAACCACGATCATCGTGTAACTAACTCTTTCTCTTTCTCTCTCTCACTCTCTCTATGTGGGAATAGAAAAAAAGAACATAAATGGACAGATTTTTGTAATCCTACTTTGCTTGCCCGTACGAGAACAGCAAACGGAAATCACGTATGGCGAATGATAAAACAAAGTCGATAACAGGTCTAACCGATCCTAAGTGATTAATGCTTGCTTCTCGTAAGTCGGTGGGCAAGCATAAAGCCGAATTTCCATCGGGCAAGTAGCCGAACCCAGTGGACACCTCCGTGTCCTGGAAGGTTTACTGGGCCCCGCTTACCTTCACGATGCAAACCCTAATCTCTAACGCAGGAACTAGAGCGAGAGGACACGATTTTTCTTCTTTTCCTTTTCCTCAACGAAAGAAAAACAAAAACGACGCGCCTTCTTAACCGAACAGACAAATAAAAGGTACGTAGTCGGAGAGCGAAGTTCAATAACATTAACAGCTTAACGACTATGGGATAGGAGAAATGTATAAACAATATAACATGAATCACAATTATGCAATAATTATTAATCGCTCGCCTCGTCGCGTAATTAGATAAAATTAATAATAATTTGATCTAACAACTGGTTTACTCTCGTTGATTGCACTCTGTGAACCCGGACCATTTCCGTTTCGTCGATCGCTCGTTCGGTTCCTTGTCCTACCCTTGCAATCTCCTCTCTCTCTCTTCTTCTTTCTCTCCCTCTCAAAAAAAAAAAGGAAAAAACGGAAGCGGCCAGGGTTTCTTCGGATTTCGAGCGAATATTTGCGACGAACAGCCTTCGTTCCAGGCTGTCTCGTCGCGTCACAGTCTTAACAATACGAATCCGTTGTAGCAACTGTGCACACCACACTACTCTGTATCGCACAGACAACGTTACGAAAAAAAAGAGTTCTTTTTTTGATTGAGCTCCGTTCCTCCTTTTGATAGCAGCATCTCGCTGGGTAGTCTTTAAAAGTCGACCATTAAGAGTTCCCGACACACACGAAACGTTGTGTCTACTCTCACGTATCCTATTTTGTATTTACCTCCCTATAATAATGCCCTCGTGGTAGGCAGGACTCGGCCCATCAGGCCCGGCCGAATCCTATGACTGGTTTTCTCTCTAAGAACTTAACTAGGCCGTAGTCCTCGGCAGAATGGGACCGTAACGTTCGCAGCATCGTTTTTGGCATGTTTAACTATCTCCCCCCTTCCGCCCTTTCAGCGAAACACATTTAAACCAGATTTAACCATACCGTCCGTTCAGTAATCCCAGGTCTCTTCTGGCTCGTGTTTCACTACGTTTTCCTTGGGACTTTCCTCGGTGGATTGTTGGGTTTGCTGCGCGGATGGTGGCCTCGGTAACGTAACAGGGCTGGTCGGTCCAGACTTTGGACTCGGCAGAGAGCTGTCTCGATCCTGGCCGTTGTTCCCAGACACGGAGGACACGTCGCTCTGCGCGTCTTCCTCGTATCTATCTTGGACCGGCGTTGGTTCTACCCTAATTGTCTCTTCAGCTTCTCGTTTCACCCCGTAGTCATCCGTCTGCATCACGCAAACGCCGTTGATGATCACCTCGTCGCCCGTTCTGGCTGGTTCTTGCCACTCTGGATTGACCCATTGCGGCGCGGCAGGTTTCCTTCTGTTTATTCGGACGGTGGCGGGCACTGTGGGCGTCTCCGCGGGCTCTTGCTTTATGCTGCCCGCGGAGCCTACCGAGTCCTCACTACCCAGATTACTCATAGCGTCCTCCGCGTACTCGTCCTCGAACTCTTGGTTCGGCTCCCTCTTCAGGGAACTCATGGACAGGTCCAGGCCTGAACACTGTTCCTTCAAGGCGTTCCCTACTAAGGCAGCCAAGTTGGGGTTGAAGTAAGGGGTATAGGGCAAGGGTACGTTGCCCAAGCCCAGCCTCTCCTTCTGGATTTCCAACAGTCTTTGGTTCAACAGCAATCTGAATTGAACTGGGTCGAATGGCTGGCCAGGTTCTCGGGGGGATTGAGGTTCCGGCTGGCCGTGCGGCGTTTGCTGCTTCAGTCTCATCCGATGGTTGTGAAACCAGTTAGTTATCGTCCGCGAGGACAGGGCCAACTCACTGGCGAGGAATTCGATGGTGGCGACGTTGGGGTAGGGGTCGAGGGCGAAAGCCAGCCTGAGGGCTTCTTTCTGCTCCTCGGAGAAGAGGACTCGTTGTTTCTTGGCAGATGCAGGTCCTGGACCAGGAGAAGCCGCGTGATAAAACTCTGCTGTGTCGTTGCTCGATGTGTCCGAACTGTTATCGTGACCCGGACCGCTGCTGCGTCTTCTTTTGTTCGCTTCTCTGCGCTCGTTCTTCAGCGCCTGGAGCCGATCGACGTTGTGCGCGTCGGATAGCCAGAGTTGCATCCTGATGAAAGGTTCTCGTCCTTTTATACTGAGCATGTGCCAGGGTTTAGGTTTGCTCAGCAATTCGCTGACGGATCCTTGCGACAGCCCTAGGACCGCTTCACCGAAGATCTTCTGGCCAATGTTGTTGGCCAGCAGCGCTTCTTTGATCTTCGTTGTGATCGTCTGGGTATCGAGCTCCTGCGTGAGGGCAGCCATTTCGTATACGCTTGGGGAGATGTGTGGATGGAGACCACGAAGGGGCGACGGAGTCATCTGATGATGGGGGGAGTGAAGATTCATCTGCTGCTGCTGTTGCTGATGTTGTTTCTTTTGCAACTCCTGCATGCTGAGCTGCGAATGAGGATGATGGGGACCCGGCGGCGTCAACATCATCGGTGGTGGTGGCTGAGGATGTTGAGGATGTTGAGGGCTTTGTTGAGGAGGTCCGAGTTGCAACTGGTTCTCTTGCTGATGCTGCGCCGCTGCCTGAGCCGCCGCTTGCGCCGCAGCCTGCGCTTTTGCCGCGTTCTGAAGTTGTTCCTGAACCAGTTTAGTTGGGGGCATAGGTTTCATCGGCGTCCCGCAAGCTGCAAGAAGAAGGAACAATCCATTGAAGAATCATCGTGCACGAGACTCGTGCGTCGAATAGTCCGAAAGCTCATTTTGACAGACGTCAGAATGTTGCTTCGTCAAGCGGTTCCCGTTAACAAACACTTTCACTCTGGTCATTCTCAACGAATCGAAGGAGTAGCAGCATTCGGCACACAATTTCGAGCTCCCAAACTATGTGTTTCGATAAAATAACAAAACATCTATATTGACCTGAGTTAAACTTACGAGGCAGGCCACCGTAGCCGCCGGTCCTCATCAGCTTCTCCGGTGCGATCTTGTACTGGCTGGCCACCAGCTTGTGCACCGCGTTGTCGTCCTCCAGGAACATCTTCATCCTGATGAAGGGTTCGCGACCTTTCTGCGTGAGCATGTGCCAGGGTTTTGGACGCGCCAGGAGATCGGAAACGGATCCCTGGGACAGACCCAACACGGACTCACCGAACAGACGTTGGGAGATGGAATACTGAGACAACTGTTCCTTCACCTGGAAGTACAGATTTCAAGGTTAAAAACCTTGTTACGATCAACCTTTATCGAGGAGCCTAAGTAGGCACAACTTACTCTCTTTACAATGTCCTCTGTGTTTAAGTTATTATACATGTCAAATTGCTGCTGAGTGATGGGGGGAAGTACAGCTTTCAGGGGCCTCTGGTTGGCCGAGTGGTGGGTAGGCGTGGACGGTTGACTGATCAGACTATTTGTGATAGAAGCCATCCTCTGGAGAGGACTGGCGGCCGCTGCGCCGGAGAATTCCTCGCTGGGCGTCATCGCTGGTGGAAGAATGGAGTTACCCAGCGGTGAACTCGCGCTAGATCCGCCCGGCGTGGACTGAGGTGCAGCAGTGGGTTCCTGTTTAGGCCTAACCAAGGAGAAGGCGCTTCCGGCGTGTCTCATCGCTTCCTCAATCTTCTCCTTCTCCTCCTCCGAGACGCCGTTTATCATTTTATTCCTGGGATCCACCTTTCCTAAACTCAGGTCTTGAACACCTCCACCGTTGGTGGCTAAATGATGCTGTTGAAGGGCGTGTTGTTGAAGAGCCAGCAGACCAGGTAGCCCGGGTAATCCTGGCAGCCCGGTTAGCGAAGGATTCTGACCCGGTGTCGCGTTTAACTTCTGTAGCTCTCGGTGGTATGCGTCGAGCGCCAATCGAATGTCCTCTTGCGTACGTTCCATCCCCTGAAAGCCACCTTGGGTGCCACTGAAAAAGTGTGGAAACATCGCGCTACGATCAATCGAGGTCTCGTGCTGTCCTCAATAATGATCAATCGATAATTATAAGGTTCGCGTAACAATGCGTGCAGTTAAGCGAGCTTTGGGCGAAAGGAGTTCGCGTTTACACCTGACATTTACGTGTTAAGTAACGAAAGAGATATAATTTTAGCATCATACGTCATCTGTTGAGCAGAGTTGATACGCGGCCGCGACTTACTGTGACTCACAAGATCTATGGGATACACTATTGGCACTAGCCGGATCAAGGACCTCCGGTATAAACGCAACACGTCGGCGAGCCTCACCTGGAAGGGAATTCCCTAGGCCCACGAAGATCTTCGATCCTTCTTCCCATCAGTTTGGCCAACTCCTCCTGATAGATCCTGACCACCTTCTCCTGCGGAATGTCGTCGTTCTCGTACTTCTTTAATCTTCTGTTCTGACTGTCGAGCCTGTCTTTGTTAAAAGGACTCGGACAACCGATCCTGCTCGGACTCTTGCTGTCCGCATCGTTCGACACCTCGTGTTCGCTCTTCATTTGTAGGTGGCCCGACTCCGAGAGGATGTGCGCCAACCTTTCGTCACTCATCTCTGGCGGACCACCTTCCTGTGGACCGCGAGCGAATGCTGGCATTCCTTGCTCCTTGCCTGAAACATACTCTACGGGTGAGGCACAACTTGTGGTGCGTTCTTACTTTCTTTGGTCTTAGAATTAGGCGTAATTAAATTTAAATTAAAATTAGAGGTTCAGGGTCTTACGGGGCGGTCTTAACCTAAATCCTCTTCTCTGATAACGATTCGAGGCAAATTTCTGTATCGCGTTTGATCTCCTGAAAATTCATACTGCTTGTCGATCAATGCCTTTCAATTTCAACCGTTACCGAACGATGTTCGATAAGGAAGACTCAACCCCACGTACCTAATCAGATCCGAGGGGTCGGGCCTGGTTGATTTCATGTTCGATCGAACGTGGGAGCAATTAATACAACGCAAAATCAATAACACCGGCGAGAACCCGAAGGCAGAGCGTAACCCGGCGACGATAATTAAAATATCCTTTTCTAGGGGATCACCCTTACGACCTTTCCCCCCCAACGTACACGTAGACAACCGTGTACTTCTCCTACGTGTTTCCCGTCTAATTGACCAATAAGCCGTAAGATTCAGACGAATGAGCCATCGATCATGTCTTTGATTGCTCCGATGCCCTTACTTTCTCGGTCTCTCAAATCCATAGGTCTCCCAGATGACATTTTTTAGATTTTTAATGTCGTTTCAGAGAATAATATTAAAAGGGACATTATTTTTAAAAAATCTAGATTAATCTAGAAAAATCTCTAAATTATTAAAGGCTCCCTGTGTCAATTGGCTAATTAATGAAATGGACACTTAGCCGAGTGTAGGCACGTTGAAAATTTCATTTTCGTCGCAAGTAAAATGTAACGTGGTAGCGAACGCGAAGAGGAAGAAGCGAAGATTAATTGGTGATTAAGAACGGAATGTGGACGACGATCCAAGTGGCTGAGAATGTTGCGGTTATTGCAAGAATATTGGTCGACGGGAAATGTTTCAAGAAATCGACAACGCGGTGGGTGGAAACATTACGAGGACAATGACGACAGTCGAGGCTCGTTTCGTCGATGTGGGAGAACGGAACGCGACGTGTACACACGGGTCTGCGGCACGCGTGTGTTGCCCTGTCGTTTGAATTCGTGCCAGCAAGACTTCGACTTATGCCAACCTCCTCTCTAACCGTACGACATTTTCCTGGGGCTGCTCTTATCCAAAAGAATCGACTGATGTTATTAACCATTGAAATTCAATTCTATCAGGTAGTCCAATAAGTTCGTGACGTGTTTGTTTCGTGAGCATTTCAAGACGAGAAAAGAAGTTAAATATTAACTTCACGATTACGCTATTTTGAGAAAGTAACCTGAACTTATAAATCATGGGCTTAATCTTGTAAACAATGTTGGTAACCTTAAAAATTGCTCTAACTTTACTGACAGCATGTTGAAAATTAGAGAATATTGAAAATTTTTAAAAATAAATTTCTTCAAATTCAATACTTTTCTTCAGCTTCAAGAAATTTTTGTCATCTTCTAAAAAAGATAACCGACGTCAATGTATCTCGCAATAATGGACAGACGGATGAAAAATGTGTTTTTAGTGAAGTCGACAGTGCCGACAGAGACGCGTCCATCGGTTCGCCGAGATAAAAAGAATGAGGTCATTATTATGCGTTACTTCTTTCCTGAAAGTCGGCTTTTTTTTGCGGTCTAACGCTGATGAAATTGGCATTATCGTTATCGAACGGAATACAGATTAAAACACTGCGGTAACAGCAACGATACTCGATCAACCATACATATTTGACATATTACGTATGAAGATTTATCGGGTCCAATTACCGCCAAGTTCCTGCATTAATATCACTATTCATTTCTTTTCCCTTACATCACATCTATATTCATAACAATCGCGGGACGGGAGAATGTTTTATCAGCGAGCACGCTCGAACATTCTGAACGACACAGGAAACAAAAACACCGCGAATGTTCCTAACAAACATTGTAAAAATAATTGTTGAGGAATTTTGTACGAAGTGTGTAGTTAAGTTTCAATAAAAATACTTTCAGACAAAAGATATTTGTAATCATGAGTTGTTGACACCCAACCTCAATTCCCGCCAATATTCATTCACGTTTCCTAACCATCCGCCATTGTGTACAGCCCTGAAACGCGAGAACTAATTCACAACGGTGTTTTCCAATCGTTTTTTTGATTTCCATCGATTCCCTGGGCTCGTGTATTTTCCATGGGTCAGCCAACAATCGCGACTGGCGTAAGAAACAGCGTAATCGGGAACACCGGTGTTCTCCTAACAATCGTATGGTTTCTTAAGCCTCTGTCATGGGTTCTCATGAAATCGTTCAAAATTTTGTAATCGACTATTGTCAAACTTAAAGGAATTTCAGGATACACGCGTAACCCGACGAGTTAAAAAAGAAAAAAAAAAGAAAGAAAAAGGAACGAACGATGAGGCCCGACTTCCATTGCTCGCGTACGAGTCAGACAAATTGCTGTATGGATTTCCTTTCCGGTCTGGCCATTGTCCTTACGCGATTGTTCTTTCTTTCAACGATTCCTACGAGTCGGTCTTTGATGCCTTGATGCGATCTGAACGAACGAACCGTAACATTTCATCATCCGGGAGAAACGGAGGTGGCGGCACTGGGTGCGCAACGGAAGCGAGGGACACCTAGAAAATTCTTTGTCCGTTTCGCCGAGGATTAAGATTGTTATGCTTAAAAGGATTTCGGTATTATTATTACCTTGCTAATTAACATATGAGAAATGAATACGACATTAGTGCCAGTGCAGTGAATAAATATTGTATGAAATTGAAGAGGAATGTTTGGAGAAACGGAAGGTCTCTTAAAGGATGTAGCACCTTAAGGCTACGTGTAATACCCGGGGTCTTTCAACGACGACAAGGGCTACGTAGTGGTACGGTCGAGGCGTCAGGAGGTGGAAGGATACAACCGGGACAGAAAATCTGATAAAATCGGTATATGAAGCAGAGTAGCCTCGCTAATGAACGTAACTCTTTCGCGGTGCGCTATACTCTTTCTCTTGTGTACGAGCAAGATGTGCGTGGCTGCATATAGCGCGTTTAATTGACGGTGAAATACGCGACTGCTAGGCACCGTCGGGGATTTCTTCTTTGAATCGAGCTTCGTAACAAGCTCCGGTGTTGTTAAGAATGAAATTCAAAACGATCGATTTTCTTCGCCGCGGAAAATTACCTTCCACGTAACGATTGCCATTTTAGCGTGAGCGAACTTTTAAATCGCGTGGAATTGATTAAAAGACAGTGGAAAGCTGCGAATGATATTTGATATCGATTTTACGAGAAAATCAGTGCGCGTGTCGTTTCTAACTATTTCATCCATTTTACAGCTGAACGGGACAGATTTTGAAATCACAATCGCACACTGATAACATTATCTCTGCCATAGTGGGTCAACGACCGCTAACATCGAGCGTTAATTTATTTGTTCTACTATAATGATTCTATAGAGAAAATGATTCTTCAATTTTGTTTTTAAAATTTTTGTTCACTTTTAGTTCCCTATTTTTACAATGCTTTATTATTTTTAAAATTTATAATTATAGATTTATGTATCCATTAAACTTTGAAAATCAAAATGAAAATTCTACCAATTTTCAAAATTTAATTCTTACTTTAAAAATTCTCATGTTCGATTGAAATATCAAACTAGCTTGCTCCGGTTCCCTCTATTTTATATCCCATTTATTTAACTAGTCTCGCGGCGAAGAAGGAAATAACAAGCGTATTTCAAGCCTGCCAGTAGAACAACTTTACAATTATAATTGCACAATTAGAGTCCCATGGCTATGGCGATGCGTATCCTCGATTCGATAAATGGACTACGCTCCAAAGGGTAGTTGAATTAAAAAGGATTCCACTGATTTCAGATAGTTCAAGCAACGAACGCTTTCAGAATTAAAACTACTCGAATAATGAATAAACATCCAAGCGGAAAAGAATGAAAAAGGATAATCACTAATCACTGCGGTCAGCGACGGTCATTAATTCCTCGACTGTTCTTTTACAAAACTCTTTTGTTATAACGATCAAAATAAATTTAAGTGTTCTATTGTTTGTAAATTAAATAAATATATTAAAAATACAATTTAAAGACTTTTTGAATCATTTATCTTTCTGTTTTCTATTGAGGACGCATTCTAATCTAATTTAAAAGTTATAAAATCTTTTTGAAAGTATTTGAAGAAAATTTCACGATAAACAGGGTTGGAATAATACCAAGTATCTTTATTACGGTAATTCTGTTGGTACCTTGCTCTTGGACCAGCTTAGATCAATTGTATTACATTGCTCACGGGCAATAATAAACGGCTTGAATGTGTCCCCTGAACAGTGGGCTAAGATCCAGGACATTTATCACAGGATTAGCAGTTTACGTGATTTTTGCGCTGTAGTTAATATTCATAACTAAAAATATTTGTCGTAGGTGGCGTTTGATTTCAACACAATATCAAGACTTCGCGTTTTACAAAACAAACCTACCCAAACTTATCTCACTGCTTTATGAAATGGAACGTACATTTTATTTTAATATCTAGTATTCTAATTAAGTTTATTGAAAAAAGAATTCTATAAATGTTTGGAAAAATTTGAAAAGATCCGCAACTTGGTCGTCGAATCGCCATTTAAAAAATATTTCCCTAAAACTCTGACACAATACGCTATTTTCCTAATGATTATTAAAAATCACGGAGAGATTTCAAGCCTCGACGATCTCCCGGAACAAAAGTTCCATTTTTGAATTCGAATCGACGTCTACCCAACTGAACCGTTTAATCGGCTAAATTCCGGAAGTTCAAGGTACATCGCTGAGAAGGTTCGCGCGCAAACCTGTACCATCAAAGGTCTGCATATCGGAAGGAACGTTACGAGTGCTGATTTTTTGCGCATCGTTTCTTTCTGCCCTCCTTCCCGTTCCTCTAACCGTTTCTCTGTTTTTTTTTTCCCGCACGATGCACATGATTATCATTGTCGACGGAAACCGACAACCCATTGATGCACGACGTCTGCGTTGTCAACGACGACCTCTCCCCCCGGCCCCTCGCGAGTCCGGTATTACCGTATATTTTATAGAGGTTCCATTTTTCTCGCGGATGTTCCATTATGGCGCTTCGTTCGACATCCTTTCCCATTGGTATTAATATTCACAAAAAAGAGGGGATACGATCAACGGTGGAGCGGTTTGACAAATATAACCTTGTAAAGATAAAACAACAGACCATGTATTCCGGAATGATTCATGTGTCACGTGGTACAGTTTAGCGTTTTGTATGACATAGGTTGAGCTGTTTTGTTCATTTTTTTAGAAGTAAACCCATGGATGTAAGAGTACCTACTCTAGAGGGGGGCATATTACTTTTCATAGATAAAATTTTAGTTTTCCAGCATAATTTTACGATCCCCTGGCAATCTGGTAATTACCTTTCGCGAGAAACACAGACGGATCTGGAACGTCTGTGCTCTCTCCTGGACCCTGTTTCCTTTCGTTCTCCCTCGCCTCATCCTCCTTTCTATCCTGGAACCCTTTATGTATTGCACCCTTTCCTAGAAGTCATCCCCAGTTTCCTACTCCCAAGAGCTATTAGTCTAAACAATATGGCTGCCAAACGCAGCAAACAATCGATAGCGAGCTTGCCACGCTAACTGGCTGTATAATTTAATTAAGACTATTAAACGTGAAATCGAACCTCACTTTCCAACTATTTTGCCCCGCCATCTTTTCATCGTATCACTTTACGGATATCGTATTTGATCCTAATTTTGAGGTTAGATTGTCCTTTTGTAGGTTATCTAGTAAGTATTCTCTAATGTTGAAACTTTGAGAAAAGTGTTGAATCGAAACAAAAGAAAATGCCTTAAAATACTATGTATTTCGAGTACTCGAGGACTTGCATAGTGTCAGCTGGTAGTCCCAGCGGTCTCGAAGCGGAACAGCCTGTTGCGCAGCTCTCTCTAACGTGAAAATACTTGGAACATTGAAATTCCTAAAACGATCCGGACAGCTATTTTAAGGGATCAAGTACTAATAAGAACGTCTGGAGGGTATATATATTGTGTTCGGTTAAAAATAGACTCCGGTGTTCTTGGCCCTAGTACGATGACACACCGTGGTCCATATAAAGACACCTGATGGCTCTTAAACAGTTTCTATGAATATCTGTCGGATGACAGGGAAAGCTCACGACGTCACCAACGCATGGCTATCTTTCAGGACTGATTTTCTCATCTTTTCTCTAGAGGGATGAGACATCCGGTACACGAGGGTTATATGTCCCTTTCCATTGTTAGACCAAATAGAGATACACCATTGACACCCGTATTAGACAGCCGAAAAAAAAAAATAGTTAACTGACTAGCTGATGTGTTAGTGGTTCGGCAGAACAGATTATTGGCAGTGCGAGGCAGAAAAGAATTCTTAGTCAGCGGCGGAAGCTCAAACGAGCCGTTATCGATCAGCAGTGAAGGACACATCAAACAGATTTAGCGTCGGGATGAATCTTTCAAGCATAGCTCAACACGCTGAACCTGTTGCTGGACAACATCCTCAACAATCAAATGTAAAACAGAAGCGCTCTTGTCATCCTCGTAATGTTCAACCTGAACATGATCTGATCAGTCGATACGACTAGAAGCAGAAAACACGACCTGCCTCTTGTGGCAGATCTTCGGTCTGATCTTCACCGCTCGATAGAAGTGAATACGTAGGTCGAAAAAAAGGCAGGAAAACTGGAGTGACAACTGGAAACTGACGGTACTCACCTTTCTTGGGTATCAGGGACTTTAGCAGCATAACAGCGTTGTCGTCGCAAGCCCAACCGTGCATCTTCCTGTAGCTGTCCCGTCCTTTTTCCGTCAGTTTGTCCCACGGCTTTGGTTTGCTTAGCAACTCGCTAACGGTTCCTTGGCTCAACCCGAGGACGTACTTGGCAAATAATCTTTGACCGATGTTGTGTATGGACAGCAGTTCCCTGACCCTCCTGGCTATGTGGAGGGTGTCGAGGTTCTGCGACGCGTACTTGTCCATGTTGTATCGTAGCATCTCTTGCAGTCTGGCTTCCATGGGGTCGCCCTTCGGGATGAGCGATTCGCCAAGTCTGCCGGCCATCCCGGCTGCGCCGAACTCGTCGCTGAATCTGAACGGATGCGTTCTCTCGTCGAATCGAAACGGATTCTTCAGTGTGTCCAGCACACTTAGGCCACCGATGTTGTTGTTGGCCAGATGATGGCTGTTGTTATTGTTATTGTGACATGATTCCTGATCCGCGGGACTTTTCATCGGTGGTGCAGTTGGTATAGCAGGTGTCATGCTTCCACCGTTGACGGAGGCCGACGATGTTGACGTGTCGACCATCGTGGTGGGCGGTTGAAAACTCGGCGGTGATGTTAATGCGGTGGTGGAGGATGGCGTCGGTGGGGCAGGCGTTTCGTGGCCGGACACCGGTGTCGGAGCCTTCTCGGCATCAAGGCAACTCAGTGGAGTGGTTCCTAACGGGGTATTCGATTTGGCTGGCGTGTTGGAGCTGGACGATGGGTCCGTTGGCGAAGAAAGATGATTTAAACTAGTGGTGGTGGTTGGAGGATGCAAGCCGATAAGTGGCTGAGCTTGCTGCAACTGCTGCTGCGACAGTTGACCCAATGGAGTCATCTGCTGCTGCTGCTGCTGCTGCTGCTGCTGTTGCTGTTGCTGTTGCGTTTGCTGTGGTTGCTGCTGCGGCTGCGGCTGAGGTTGTGGTTGTGGGGGTTGATGCTGTTGTTGTTGCTGTTGCTGTTGCTGATTCATGATGGACCTCTCCAACGACCGCCTCCAGTTGGCGACGATCTCTTCACCGAGGAAGGAGCCGAAGGTCTCGACATTCTGGAGAGGAGGAGGGAAGAGGAGGCTGGAGGTGGTCGAGGTGGCTGATGAGGGTGTAGGAGTGGAACGCGGAGGAAGGGAGACTGCTGCTGGGGGTGGTGGCGGTGGTTGCTGGGAGGACACGTGGGACGAAGGCGGTACACCTCCGACCCCGTGAGGTGAGGCGGTAGAGGCGCGCTGCAGGGGTGACGATAGTCCACCTGCAACCACCAAAAACACAAGGGACCGCGTCAACACGAGCTCACACACGCGGATGACGGTCAACCTAACGGTTTGCTTTCGCAACTCTTTTGGAACCGGCTTCCTTTTCTCGTGTCGCGTCAGTAGGTAATCCTAAGTTCTTCGGCAGCCTCCTGGACGATACACGATGACCGAGACTCTCTTTTTCGACGCTTCGTCGCTTGGTCCACAGAAACGAGGAACAACGTGGCCCAACGAGAGGAAAAGTGTCGCGCGTCAACGAACCGGCTTCGGTTCACTGGTCATTTTTCAAAGGAATCCATCTGTTTCGTTGCGACCGGAAGCTACAAGATTGAGGAGGATAACACGCTTGGAACCCGGATACGATGACTGGCTTTCCTTCTCTGCCGTGATCACGCGGCTTCTCTCTCGCTCTCTTATTCTTTCTCATTCTCCCGATCGATTGGTAAAACGACCCGGCCAAATATTGCCGAATATTGTCCACGAAATTTGCGTGTACGGGACTATGCGTATCCCCAGCGTGCAGACGGTCGTAGTCGGGGCTCCGGGCGACGTGAGGTGGACGTTTTTTTTTTGGGGGGGGGGGGGGGGGGGGGGGGAGATAATCAGAGTGTCGATGATGGTAAGGTAAGGAGCTTCGGGTCCTGGGATAACGTGCAGGTCACGGTTACGTTAGTACCTTCTACAGGGGTACGTTAATTTTACGTACCAGCGAGAGAGCAGCTCGAAAAGTGTGCAATCCAAGCAATAAAGGATCTCGGTGAATTAGGCAGAGGAAGAAAGATAAAGATACAGATGGAAATAGAGCTAAAGAGAGAAAGAGAGAAAGAGAAAGAGAGAGAGAGAGAGTGGTATGAATAAAGTATCAGAGAACGATAGCAGCACCGTAGCGACAGAAAGATCGAGAGAGAGAGAGAGAGAGAGAGAGAGTAGATGATAAAGTAGAAAACAGGAGCAATATATATTAGTGAAGAGATTGGGATAGAGAAAGACGAGGAAGAATGTAGATAAAAGTTAAAGAACACAATGGCAAGCAAGAGTTATTTTGTTGTTCCTTTTCTCTCGATAAGCTCCTTCAGTCATCCCTCGTTCTTTATAAAAGCGTCCGCGTTGCGTGACTCGTGTCCTTTTTTCCATTTTATTAATATTATTACATGGAGCCCTTCGACGTAGCCTCGAAGAGAGAGAGAGTCGGGGATCGAAGACCAGAACTTTAGCGCAGGAATTAGTAGCGTTACCAGAAAGGTTCTCAACTATATCATTTCGGACAATTCCTGATCTAAAGGGGGCACAACGATTCGTTGCAGAATTCATCTCCGCGTAACCGAACGGTGACAGAGAATTGATCAGCATCGACTTACCGAGCGCGTCCGGGGTGCTGGATGGCTTCAGGCTCTCAGTCTGTTGAAGCGCCTTCGAGCGTTCCATCAGAAGGTGCTCCAAGCTTTTGCCAGGCTCACCGGTTGGAATCTGCGAGAGATCGACGGACTTTAGTGCGTTAATTTCGCGTTTTAGGTCGTCATAATCCCTCTGTCGTTCCAGTTTGCTCTCCAGTCTGCTGATGTGCTGTCTGCGAGCCTCCAGTTCCTCCTCCAGCCGGGCTGTCGCCTGGGCACTTGTCTCTTGCAGACGTTGCAGGCTCTGTTGTAGTCTGGACACTTCCTCGACCAGTTGACTAATCTGAAACAAAAAATGTTATTTAATTAATGTAACGTTCCAAAAATTTATAACTGTCGTCCGACGCTTGTTAATTAATAAAATGGAGGAAATATTAAGTACATGAAGGCTCGTCCAGCAATCGGTACCTGTTCCAACTTGTCACAAGGCGGACACGAACGTAATTACATTACCATCGATACAAATATAGAATCATATTCACGGAATCCAGCTCCGCCCCCGTGAATCCCCGCGATCTGCTTCGGGAGCCGTTTATCAGCGGGTAAGGAGCTTAACAGAAGCTCTTTATTAATTTTATCGAATCGATTGTACTGAATCGATATTGGCCGCCTAGCAGAAGGGATAGCTTTAAGGGTCTGAATGTAATTACTGGTACGTTTAAGATTCGTCTACGCTGGGGCTGAGGCACAGGTGCCCATCGGTCCATTTCTTTTGGATCATTTCTGGGGTACTGATACCCTTCGAGCCATGCAGGATAACGAGATGATTTTTATTAAACAATGAAACGAACCTGTTAACAAACTTCATCGTGTGAAAAATTGATTTCTTTAATCGTACAGCTACAACGAGCCACGAATACGATGAATTCAGGAAGCATATCAATAATAAAAGTATTATTCTCCTCCTCCATTGAAAGTAATCAATCGAATGAGAATTCGAGTCCCATCTAGCTGTTTCATTCGGTCCATGTGAATAGGTACAATGAACGCGTGTTGGAAAACGCGATCAGGAAGAAAGGGTGCAACCAGGGTGAAAAAGAGGAGAAAGAATAGACAGGGGCAAATGTGTAAAAAAAAAGGAAAATGAGTGGCAGATCGGGTATAGAAACAAAGGGAGAGAAGAACAAATCGGTGAAGGGACTTAGAATGAGACAGATATCGGCAGTATACATAACATTAGTTACGCGTAATATTAGAATCGTTACATTAATGAGATTTGTCATTTAGGTAGAAATCTATTATTGCATCCTGCTATTAATAGGATATTTTCATTTATATATATATTTTTTTTACATTTTTCTTTTTATAATTCAAGGGGTAAAAATATATTTAAAAAAAGAATGACATATAATTATAGCAATATTTGTAATTCCCTAGAAAGTGGAATGTCGTATAGGGTTTGATTCTGCGAACGAAAGGGGTAAACATCGACGCGACCAAATAGGGGCGGGGGTGGCGTGATCAATCGCGATGAATCGCGAAACGTTCGAAAGTTTCGAATCGGAACTCATCCACGTGTTACTCGACCGGTTATATTCGACGAAAATATCTGTAGCGATGGGTGTGCAAAGGGTATGCCAGGGGTTGGATAGAAGCCCGACAGCAGGCGCGAGAGAGGGAGGGAGGAGACGATTTTAAACCTGAATGCGTTTTGCACGGTGCAACGGGCGATGCGAACGAGATCGTATCAATTGTTTTTCCCCGGTGAGGCATCATCCCTTTTCCGGGGGTTAATTGAGGAGCAAAGCTTCAATTTCGCGGAATTCACGCCTCCGGCGTGCATCGACAGGTCTAGCCAATAGAATGAGCCACGGATTTAAAAAACATCGGTTCTTTTCTCTTCTTTTTCAATGGTGTTCAATAAACAAATGTTACACCCCTTCTTTTCCCCTTTGTTCTTTTAATCGGGGATCAGGGTTGCTCGCGTGAATATAGGAATCTGAACTGATTGTTTTTTCGCTATTGATCACGCGTGATAGAATTACGAAGCAAAATTTTTATCAACCTAACTTTAATTACCAGATTTTAGTACTTCATTTCCTGAATCTGTTGTTCGAAAACGTATCGTGGAATACGATGCCATTTTTATTCATCTCCGAAACCGACCATCCACCTGCTCGTATCTTTCATTGCCGCGGTATATCGACGAGACAGATTGAATGATCCAAAAACGGGAGGAGAGAAAAAAATTTATGATCCGCTGTCCGCAGAGTGTACCTATTCAACGGCGATGGTCATAGGCTAAGCTGAGAGATCTGGGGCAAGATCGAAATTCAATATGGAAGGCAACGTGTGACTGCTGCAATCGAGGGCCCTCGGTTTTACGAACGACTCGGGAACACATTAAATTTAACGAATCCGCGGACAGACAGAAACGTGGCCGTTGATGTTATCGATACACGTATGAACCAGCTGCTTTCTAATAGCCTGCTGGACGAATGGAATTTCTGCCGGACTGATAATCTATTAACTTTCCTCTAGCATTGTGGTGTGATGAATTCCTAGTAATATTTCTAGGGAGCACTAGCAAATTTAGTTTACATTTACGAAAGTATTAATGAAATCAGATGTGAAAAATCTAAGTCCAGAGGTTAACCTATCCTATAGATATAAAAATTCCAATACCTATTTTCAGCATTAAAACGAGACACGTTCACGTGATTGTCGCGTAAGTTCGACGATATCGACACGCTGTTAATTCCATCTGTCCTTCCTCTCGGTTTCGCTCGCAAAGCGATAACCTACCCCATAGCTAATGGCGGACATTATTACGAGCAACTTCGGGAACTTACCCCCCTCCCGTTCAGTCAACCAGCGTGTATAGAACGTCGATGCGTACTTATCTATCCCCCCAGAGCCCCTTCATCGTGTGATCGAAACGTAGGGTAAAGTAAGTTAAAGCGGTAGACGTCTATTGATTGCAGACGATACGGAAGACAATTGGCAAGCAACTAGTACCGTTAAATAAATTTAAGTGTGAAAAAACATAGCATTGTGTCAAGGATCTACTCAAGGATTTTGCTTAGCACTTTGTCCTCTAAAACGAGAAAGTTTCTTTTCTAACGATCCCTATAAAAAGCAGTAATCAGGTAGTAGGATTCATTCCATTATTCCACCTTGTCGTCCATCTTTCCAGTGTCATCGATAAAAGCAATGCTCGTTAAGGGGCTCAAGTTCGGCATCATCGGTGTGCGCGCGTCTAGTGACCACGAGAAAGGGTTACGGAGGAGCAGGAGGAGGAGAGGAGGGTGTAGGTGTTACGAGGTAAAAACAAGCGAGGCTTGATCGATGGTCGCGAGGCATGGCGGGTAGCAGTGGTCAGGACGAAGGTGAGACGGACCGGAAGACATGATCGGTCGCATGCAAATTAAAGCAAACCCAAAGGCGTCCGGGGCGAGAAGTCGAGCGAGGGGGTTGGAGAAAAAGGAGTAGGAGTAGGAGTAGGAGAGAGGGTGTCGAGCGAGGTGGTTCGAAGTAGCCGGCGTTGGTTGCCATTGTTTCTTGACCGTCGATCATCTCCTTCAACCCTCCGGCTCGGTTGCTCCGGGCTCCGTGATTTTTGCTATTTGCATTATACACAGGCGTCCGAGGGGCCTTTGTTTGTCGAGCTATTGATCACATTTTCTCCCGCGGTATAATCAATCTTCACGCACACCGGCACAACCCTCCTCGCACTTATGTGCCGCGGGGTTGAGCGCACACGTGACCGCGGAAACGAGTACGTGTGCGCGACGGCACGCAGGGGGTGCGCAAGGAGGCCGGTTGCTTCGTGTATTAATTTTCGTTGCCTGTCCACCAATGATGAGCCGCGAGGGATCGTTATGGCCGCAGGAGCCCGACTACTTCCGTGGCATCTCCTTCCTTGCTCCAACCGAGGCAGGATGACGCGAGTTTCGGATGCTTCATACTATGTGCTTGGATCGCGCTCCAATGTTCTTTGTTTTACCTTGTTCAATACTCTTGTTGGCCGACGATTAAATCAAGAGAAATCCCTTTCTTTTTCATTGCATATGATAATTTTCACTATATCGTATGATTCTATAATTATGCCAAGAATAAGGTACAATTCACCGGTTGCAAAATTAAAAATTGTTAAATGGAGCAGCACGCGATGAACGTGTCGGGTCCAGAGATGGGGATGTTTCGAATATTTCAAGGTCATTTCCATCTTTTAAAATGGAACGATATTGTTTTTAACATGGGGGCACTTGTTAAAATTGCTTAAGGCATTAATCTCTATAACATGTGTAAAAATCATTGAAATTAGCGAGGTATATTCTGCTCTGCATAAATCAGAGTGCATTCTTCGATTCAGGTGAGAATTCTTGAAGAAACATTGAACGAAGGGGGATGCGATTTGGAATTTTTTCATCGGGTAAGAAAGATCGTGGGCTGCTACCCCTTCGAAGGTAACACACCACGGTTCCTGATGGGTGGTTGGGGGTGGATGAGGTAGAAAGAAGAAGGGGTTAGAGGATCTCGGAGGCTCTCTCCTTTTCTCGCCACGAGAGAATGCCAATTAAAAGCCGGGCTCGGAAAGAAAGCCCAATCGATAGGAGGCGGCTATCCCTTTCCCTCCCTCCTCAGCCCACCCCTTGCTTATTCTGATTCCCTTTCGCTCTCTCGACAGGGGTAGCGAGGCAGCCAGAGCCGAAGGGTTGCCCAAACTGGGAAGTGGGAATTATGGGCAGGATTAATATGCAAGGACTGGATACGTGCGGTGGCAGGGGTGGATGGCGAAGCAACAAAAGGGGTCGAAGGGGAAGTGCGGTAAGAGGGAAAAGGGGCTGCGTTCTGTCTTCGTCCGTCTGATGTTGAGGCGAAGAGCCTCGTTTCCCTGCTTGTCCCTGCCCCCCCTGCACCCTCTCCCGTCCTATCGGCTCGCATCTCATCCCCACCATCCTTTCCTTACAGGATACACGGCTAACGGACACCCCTATCGATTTTACAACTCGATATATGTGAATACCCACTTGTCTAATGACTGATCGGGCTTCGAGCTCAACCCTTTCCCTCCGGCTCAACTACACCACCCCAACTTCACCCCCCTTCGCCGACCGGCAGAGCTTCTCCGGCAGCCACCCCCGATGGGGCCGCCCAACGGCGAATGTATCTCGCCTCATTACACCGGCTACGTGCCTTTGGCCGACATCTCGCGCTGCATCGACGCGCACAAAAATCCACCCTCAACCCTTCACGATTACCGATGCCGTCCAAGTATACTGCAAGTATACTTCCAATCTCACTGAATAGTTTCGAATACTTCGAAAAAAAGACTTGGTA